CTCAGGGCTTTCGCGTATAGTGGGGAGGGGGCGAGGTGAGTGACGAAAGGGGACCTGTTGGTGCAGGAAGCGGAAATTTCTCTCTAGGTAGTCGGTCGCACAATGAAGAGGAACCGACGAGTGACGCCTCTTCACAGAGAGAGAGAGAGAGAGAGAGAGAGAGAGAGAGAAAGGGGGGCGGGAGGGAGAAAGGGGGCGGGGTGATAGCTGGCCAATGGCGCGCCGCGGTTCTGTTACCGTGTTTCTTTTAAATCCCGGGTTTCTGAACATTTTTTCATATCGTTTTAGAGGTTTTATAAATATTGTATTTATGTTTTGGCTCATTCAATTTGACCTGCTGGTACAAAAGGTAATTTTGTTAAATTCAGAAAATACATTTTTATTTTTCTCTGTAATATTTATTTAAATGATTCATGTTTTATTACTTATTTGTTTCATGATTGTTTTTTTATTATTGATTTATATTTTATTTAATTGATTATTGTCTTGATTATCAGGGGAAAAACATGAAATTATATGAACTATTCTGAATAACATGTTCAAGCATTATAATTTCTAAATTTTCATAAATATTACATAAATGTATTATTTTGTATCAATGTATGTCATATCTTTTTATTATTTGAATATTAGTGCCTCTTAGCTTTGTTCGTAGCATGTTTCCTTTCATGTAATGGTGCATAGTCATAGTCTAACGTTTGCTTCATTATTGTAGTAATCCACAAAACATTATTGTATTTTTGGCTTACATTCTGGATCATTATTATCATTATTACATTATCCTCTGTGCTTATGTCATCTGAGTAAATATGCAATTATATCTATTCTGAACTAGACTAAAAAACATCCAAAAATTCACCAAATTGTGATAGTGATATATGCAGTTATATAAACCAATAATAAACCAATAAAACCCAGAATACTGAATTATCATTTTACATGCAAAAAAAACATACAATCAGAAACCTGCATTAAGTAGACATAAACTTACACACACTGTATCCATTAAAAGCACATCTACACTTGTGCAGTCAAAACCGACTAACAATAACATTTTTGTCCCGTTAAATATTAATGAAAAGGTCGTACAGGCCTGTGAGTTATCATTAGATAAACATGATGATTAACACAAACCGCTCACGGCGACACCTTTCCTCTTTACGAAGCCCTCGATTGAGGCTTTATAGATAAACACCTGGACCTACAATGACCTTCAGACCACCTGCGGGAGTATTGTACTTGTATTTCGCAGTATTACTCTCATACAGGAGATCTTCTGGTGTGTTGTTGATGATCAGTGAACTATTAGTCATGCAGACACACACACACACAAAGGGAAATACACAAAACCACAGAACCGGCCCTCTTGCCTTCATTTGACCCAATGACCTTGTTGACTGCCTCCCTGAAGTGTCGCTATGACAACCAGAGTCTTTTAATGCCCAGGTGGGACTTTGCCTTCATGTCCCGGGGGCCAATGTGATGTAGAAATGCCTTTTGAGCCACTCTGAGACGAACAGCCCGCCCGCAGGCTTTGCACCCTCGGGTGACAAAAGGCAGCGGTGGAGATTACCGTCGCTGAATTTCAATATGACTCACAAGGTGACCTAATCCCTCCGCCTACGTCACGGCTGGCTGGCTGGCCGGCCACCACCATATTGGCAGATTATTGCAGATGGAGTTGTGTTGAAGTCGGCGGCGTTCAGGGGAAGTTGGATATTTCACTACTAACATGCATCGGAACAACATTAACATTATGAAGTAAGAAAAATGTCTTGAACAAAACATGTCATGACTCATTCCGGCTCTACTTGTACTGTCAATAAAGAGATTATGATCCAGCAGGTCACGGGATAATCCGGTGTCTTTACACACAGCAGAAAGGTGCCAGGTCATCACGTGACACCGCACGGACCAATTTGAAAATCAATAGTTTGCCGTTATCCTCCTTTCGCGAGCAGATCTACATCGGTCTGAAAAGCATTGATATGAATTGTTAGCGGTAGAATAGTTTCTTTGTGTTCTGACACAAATTCATACACACATTTATAACATGGCTCTGCAACGAACAACTCAATGCTGGATTTATGGATCTTTTCTGAATCAATCTGGCTTCGGTCCGACCAACACGTGCGCGTGTCTCACTCTCAGGAGTGTGTGTGTGTGTGTGTGTGTGCATGCGCGTGTACTAGTGACCGAGTCAACATGCAGCTGCAGCAGCTATTTCGGTCACTGTGCCTCCCACGCGCTCCGCCGTCCGCCCCGCTGCGCGCGCTCTGCGGCCCTCTGGCGGCAGGGACGTGAACTACACGCAGCCGTCACTCAACATTGGTTCCGCGCGGCCTGAAATCTGCAGAAATGCCCGTGGATTATTAAAGCCCGCCGCATTATACGCTTTTAGTGCCTCGTTTTTGCGATGGAACAAACGCGTCGATGGACCACTTGGCTCCAGCTGGCCTCCTTTTATTGGATTGAGCAATCAAGACCACAGACCTGATCCCAATCAGCCTTAAAAGCTCAAACACGAGTAAGCCGACAATATGAACTCCTCTACGAATCCCCCATATTACAGGAAACATGACGGCGTGTCCTTTATTCTGCCAGGAGACGAGAGCTCCTCCTCCTGTGACGTGATCAGCTGACTCAGAGTTGGCAGTACTTTCTTTGAGATGGAAACGAATGAAACGCCGCAGTAAAGCTGTCCATTATATTTTTTGAATCATTTATTTACAAAAATGAAATACAGAAAAACAAAAAACAAACATGGCTACAATGTAAAAATAACCGAGACGGAGAATGTAGGCTCAAGTGGAGGAGAAGCGTCGTCACGGGACGCCGATTACACCACGAAAAGACATCTAATAAAAAAAGAAAAGAAAAAGGAAACAACTGTTTACGACCGCTGGTCTCACAGGCGGTCGATGTTGCCGCCTGCGACCTCCAAAGTTAAAAATCGCCGTGCAGCTCCTCCCCGTCCGTTCCCGGTCTCACCCGTGCCGCCGTCTGTGCTCTAGAACTTGAACTCTTTGTATTTCTTGGCGCCGCCCCGTGTGTCCTGCGGCTGAGCCTTCCTCTTCTTTTGCTGTGCGGAAGGAGGTCGTCGTTATTCAGAAAGTCACCAAAGCGAAAGCTGAAACGTCGCAGAATGAAAGGCGCTCTCCGTACCTTCTGCTTGGCGGCGTGCTCCGCCACCATGTCGCTGAAGTCCTCCTTCTCCACCTGGGCCTGCTGCTCTCGGACGTGCTCCTCGTACTTCTGCGTCATGGCCATGGGGTCCAGCTCCAGCTCCTCCGGGGCCAGCGCCACCTCCACCCCCTGAGACTCCTGGCCGCCCGCCGCCTTGCGCGCCGCCATGGCCTGAAGGAGAGGGATCCTTGTTTAGACAACTCCGGCCCGACCTGCGCGCGGTCACCCGGCGCCGCTCGGACGCAGCGCTCTTACCCCCGACACGTCGTAGATGTGCGTCGAGGCCATCATGGCGGCTCCCACGGGGCCCGTCCGTCTCTCCGGCAGCACCGTGAACAGCTGCGGCGTCTCGTTTCTGTGAAGACGCGAGCGTGGTCAAACCCCAGGAAACGTCCCACGAGAAAGATGTTTTAGAACCAACTGACAAATGATCTAAAGTGAATCCGTCTCACCCGTCCATGGCCTCCTCGATCTTCTTCTTCCTCAGCTCGATCAGCTCCGGCGTCTCCATGCCGGCGGGTACCGACGTGAAACCTCCGGGCGTGATCAGCCCACTGCAACGCAAACATGAGGGGTTTACACATGCGTGTGCGCAGAGAGCCGCCCCGGTTTGGGAGGAGCGTCCATTAAGAGCGCCGGGACGTACCTGTCCGCCGGGGTGACGAACCCGGTCTCGTCCGGCTTCTCCTCGTCGCTCTCCTCCTCCTCCTCTTCCTCCGACGACTCCTCGTCCGACGGCTCCAGCTCCCCCCACGGCGCGTGATCCACCTCCTCCTCCTCCGCTTTGGCCTGGTCACATGTTCAGCGCGCGGTTAAGACGCCGCCAAAAGGTCGGGCAGGTGACAGGTGTGCGTTTTAAATCTTTCATACACACGAGATTTACAGTTTCTGCAAGAATTACGCAGTTATGTGTGTGTGTGTGTGTGTGTGTGGGTGGTCCCGACCTGGAAGTCCGAGGCATTGGTCCCAAACACGTCGCCGTACAGAGGTTTTCCCATTTCATCTACGGGCGGCTTCCCCCAGCCCCCGGCGTGGTAACCAAACGTGCAGTTCTGAGGAGCGAGGAGACGGGTCAGACTAACCGCTGTGAATAATAACATTATTATTATGTAGCAGTAGAAGTCTCACGTCTGGGATCGGGGAGTTGAGTCCGGGGATCTTGAGGTTGGGGTAGGAGGGCGGGGGGCCGTAGCGCTGCATGGCGATCAGCCAGGGAGGAGGCACCTTGTGGGCGTTCTGGAAAGAAGAAGAAAAGGAACCGTTTCCTCACCGGACGCTTTAAAAAAAACAGCCGCCTCCACACAAACTACGTCTGGCCACACCAGCCGGAACCCTCTGCGGAGAGTCCGGTTCTGGCTGCAAAACTGAGATGAACGAAGCCTTACAGGTCCCACCGGCATTCCCAGAGCGATGCGCAGCTCTTCGGACAGATCGCCCGGCTTCTTCTCCTTCAGGCGGGTTTCAAACTCTTTTCCCTGCAGAGACACAAACACACCGTCAGCGCGCCGCCGCCGGAGAGAAGCACCAACTGCTGAAAGGGAGCGGACGGAGCACCTCGTAGTAAAGGTCCCCGTGGATGGTGAGCTTGGGTTTGATCTGCCATTTGAAGAAGGCGTCGTGGAGCTTCTGGTAGTCGATGTCGATCTTCCCCATCTTGGGCCGAACCTTCTCCCTCATCTTGGTCTTCATGGTCTTGGCGTCCTCCTGTGAACGGTAAACGAACAGGAGTGAAGGAGCCGCGTCTGAAATTCACCTCTCGTTCTTCCTTTGTCGTGGAAACTCGCGGCGGCCGGATGTCCCACCTTCTCCTGCAGCGCCTCCCTCATCTCCTGGATGCCCGTCTTCTTGATGAAGTCGGGCAGCTCGAACGGAGGCTTCTCGATACCCCTCTTGCCCTGCAGGTACTTCCTCTTAAAGCACCAGTGGCGGGGCACCGGCACCGTGTTCCTGGTGGCCTTCAGGTGGACCAGCAGCTTGGGCTCGTGGGCCGTCACGTCGTGCATCTCCACCACGTCCGGGCGAGCCACCAGCTGGAGCCCAGACAGACGGCAAGTCAGTCACCACTCCTCGAAAAACACACGCGTGACCTGAAGTGGCCTTAACGCACCTGTTTGAGTTCAGCCACAGTCAGCCGGTTCATCCGCCTCATCTTCTTCTTGGAGAGTTTGGAGACATCTGGCCTCATGTCCTGTACACGAAGAACGTTTAAGCTCCGAACACTATAAACCAACGGGTGTTTTGTTTTATTCTTTCACACATCGGTGACAGAGCAAAGGATCCAAACCTCGTCGCTGTCGTCGCTGTCTTTCCTCTCGTCCTCAAAGCCCTTTTTCCGCAGCACGGCCGTCTCCGGCTTGTCCGTCTTCTCGGGCTCCTTCTCCTTCTCTTTCTTCACGTCATCGGTCAGCTGGCAGAGGGACAAGGAGGCTTTGTTACAGCAATAAAAACACCCGAGAGCAGATAAAAGACTGTGTGAGCGAGCGCAGAAAGACAAAAGTGCGGCGCAGCCACCTTGAAGGCCTCGAAGATCCTCTTGAAGAAGATGTAGTTTGGGTCGTAGATCTCCGGCTCCTCCGTGATGTACTCGATCTCCACCTCGGGCTCCTTGTCTTTGTCCTTTTCCTTCCCTTTGTCACCGCCTTCCTCCTTCTTCTCCTCCTCCTTCTTCTGCTCCTGCTGCTCCGCCTGCTCCTTCTTCTCCAGGGCTCGCTTCTGCTTGCTCTTCTTCTTGCGGTTCCGGCGCCTGCGGTTTTTCTGGAAGGAAGGTTGCTGCGTTTAGCTTAAGAAAGACTCTCTGCGCATGATCACGCAATTACATCAGCACAACAGGCCGTGCAATCAGGCGTGAAAAGGTCAGATGCGGGTTTGAGAAAAGACTCACATCCTTCTTTGATATCTCACTGTCGTCGTCTTCCGTCTCAGACATGAGCGGTGCAGAGGATCGGTTCAGGTCCAAGTCGTCGTCGTCTTCTTCCGACGAGAAACGCAACACAAAAAGGAAACGGACGAATGCGGTTAGAAAACCAGCTGCTGCTGCGTCCCAGTGGACAAACGTCCCGGTGGACAAACGTCCCAGTGGAAGGTGGAGCAGGAGGAGCCGTACTGACCTGCGGGGTCGGTGAGCTGCTCCTGGCGGATCTCCTTCAGCTGGAGGATCTTCTCCAGGGCTTGTGGGATCTTGGGCCCGCTGATGCTCACCTCCTCGCTCTGCCACACCTGGAATGGAAGCGTAAAAGACTCGTGAGTAAGAATACAACAGAAACAACCGCAAAAAAATAGCCTGAGAGACATTTTTTTAATCTTTTTATAACAAAACATTTCCTCTGTTCAGCCTGTTAATATACAGGTTTTATAGACATGGTCAGAGTGAAGAAAAACAACACCTCTCTGTTATCTTCTCCCGGAGGAGGGGGCACTCTCTGTTTTTGGGTCGGCATCATACTGACACCAGGAGGCAGCGGCCCACGTGGATCCATACCTGCAGACAAGGTGTAGAAACGGTAATCAGGGTACTGATAAAATCACTGTATACAAGATTCTGCATCCACATAAAGTACTGATTACGCTCTTTATTGGTTTGAAAGCAGCATGTTAACAGGCTACTTACTACTAGTACAGCAGGAATAAGAAATCTAAACACAAACGACACAGTACACACAACGTACCTCGCACTGCGCCCATAGGAGTCATGGCTCTGGTCCCCTGATGCATCGTAACCATCTCCTGCTGTTCCATCATCTGACATGCAAAAAAGGGAGAGAGGAGACTTAATACAGTTTAATACAGTTAAAGAAAAGGAGTAGAATCCAGGATGTACAAGCAAGAGAGATGGATTCAGCCGAACGGACTGACTGAGCAGTCAGACAAAGTCTCTTCACAGCGTTTTATGTGACGGGACTTCAGTCCGTCGGCTGTCAGTTCGGTCAGACTCTACAATCCAAAGCAGGTATTTTGTGTTGCTTTGTACAACTTGCGTTCTTTGCTTTGAGGAGGGATCCACAGATCCTTTTTGTTTCTCTGAATCCTACCAGCTCACAGACCGATCTACCATCGCCGGTAGACCTCACCTGATGCTTGGCTCTCTCCTCCTGCTGTAACACCATGGCTGCTCTGTGCTGGGCCATCTTCAGCTGGTCATCCTGCGATAGGCCCGGAGGGGGCAAACCCGGGGGCTCCATGCCCATGTGGATGCCCGGTGGAGGGGGCCCTCCAGGCATCATGCTCATAGCCTGGAGCATGCCGATACCGGGAGGCATGGGTGGCATGGGCATCGGGGGCATGGGAGGGATACCAGACATCTGGAGGGGGGGGGGGGGACACAGGAGAGCAGCGGGAGGTATGAAGGTGGGAAGCGGTTAGTCTATTAACGTTAACATTAACATTAACTATTAACGTTCTTTTATTCATTGCAGCATTGTAAACATATTACAAAACAGTACAAATCGTAAGGGTATTTGGCATAGATGTAGAGAAGAAACCACGGTGATTTCCTGCAAGAATGGAATAATGGCACAACCATCATTACACTTTCTAGATCATTTACCTGGGGGCCCATTGATTTGTCATCGTTGGGTTTGCTGAGGAGGATCCCGGTCTACAGTGAGAAGCACACACAACAAATGGGTGAATGCTTTTGGGCTGAAGACTTTGTGTCTCATTAAGAAGGTACGAACAAAAGGTTTAAAGCAAGTAAACATTAGCCTGTGATACAGGGGCATGTATGAACCGCTTTAATAATATATCACATATATAGATTACGTAGTTTACCTGGATCATGTAGCCCTTCAGTCGGTCCACCAGCTCCTCTCTGGGACCTGAAAAACGACATAACACGTAACTTACTTCCAGAAAGAAACGAGCGTTATTCTCAACACATAAAAAAAACATAAAACATACACATTAAAGCTTCTGTGAATGTGAGCATTCCCGTGAAGCCCCATCAACGTTAAACGGCCTAGCAGAGAAGTTAGCTAGCGTTAAGTTGACAAGTGCTAAACCATAACGTTACATGGTACAAGTCAGCTAGCAGGCTAACAGCTAAATCAATGGGCTACTTACCCACGGGAGCAGGTAACGTTAAGTTGTGTGACGTGAGGGCTGCACGTTACACGTTTTTTATTGGTACCGTTAAATTACTTGCATTAGAATCGCAACGTACACCCCAAAGCGTGTAAAAACACCACGGGCCTAACTTTAGCTAACAGCGACGGAAGTCTTACGTTTTGCTAGCTAGCGTTAGCAACCGACTAGCTACTGTTAGCTAAACACAGCCCTTCCTCCAGCGCGCTCTCCCTCTCCCGGCTTCGTCTTACCCATCGTGGGTGCTCCCAGCTCCGCCAGCTTGGAGTGGAGCTCCGGGTGGCTCCATGTGTTCAGGGCCGCGATGGCGCTGCCTAAATCGGACGGGAGGGATTCGGTGCCCGGCGGTCCGTCGGATGCCATGTTCAGGTTCTCTCAACGGGACAACGGCGGCTACGGAGGACACGCGAGCGGCGCAGAACTGGGCTAGCGCAAAGCATGACGGGAAGTAGCCTGAAGCACTGCCCCCTGGGATATGTAGTCCGAATGAGTGAACGTCGCGTTTACTCAATACGGCCTCTAGATGTCCTGTGTATGCAGCTTGATCAGGAATCAGGAAACATTTATTGCCAAAATATACTTGGCAATAAACTATACTACAAGATACTTATGTGACAACCCGATACCCGACTTTGAATGTATAAGAATTATGTTTTCGGGCGGTATGTACCCATTATGCAGAAAAAGGGCACCTGTCAGTGTTAAGATAGTATATATTATCACGGGTGGAGGGGACGTCATTACTGGTGCATTCATGTACATGCTGTCTCCCTGCTGCTCGGCAAAAATAAGCCTGCAAAAAAAGATAAACTGCAGCATTCGGATACAAAAGTGGCAATAATATCCGCTGAAATTAAATCAGAAGTGATTTAAAATGTAAATAAAGTTTAGTTTTATACTTTAATTCAGTATCTAATGGACCCCGTACGCACCGAACACATTAACTCCCATACAAACGCACCACGTCATTGTGTCATAACTAGTCCTTCCAGCAAATATAAATCCAACGCAAAACTATCAAACTTCATTACCATTACATGCATTACCTTCACCACTGTGTGCTTTGTGCAAAAAAAAGTACAGCAGAAGCGCAGTGTATAAATCCCTCCCTTTCAGTGCCTAGCGGACATTGCGCAGACGCAGTGGGGAGGGTGCACATTAGATCCAGTTGAGAGAAGAGGCATGAATAATACGCGCTGGTAGAGAACAGGGGAGGGGTCGAACCTACACCAAACATGGAAGGAAAGCTAAGCTGGATAGTCCGTGTCTAAAGAACTGCCTCCTGGAGGAAACATCCCGCAAAGGTAAATACAAAACCCCTTCATTTAGCGCGTGTTCCGCTGTAGGGCTGCAGTTTGCGTCGCGCTGCAGCCACATCCGTATCGGAAAATGGGCTTCTGACCTCCGACACCGAAACTTTTTTTTCTTTACTTTACTTTTCTTTTTTTACACGACAGGAATCCGTAAGTTTGAGTCGTGTAGCAAACATCTGGAACCAATGGCGTTCACACAACCAGTCGCCTTTACGCAACTTCCGCGACACCTTTAAAATCCGCAGATTACTCGCCCCAAAAATCTCCTTTTATCTCCTGTGTGTGTGTGTGTTTGCATCCGCGTACCGTTTCTGATGAGAGGGAGCTGAAAAGGAAACGGGGGGGCGAGGGGGGTGACCAGCTGTTGGTGTTGGTCAACTTGAGAAAGTGGCATTCTGACAGCTGGACACATCTCTCAGGGGCCACACCCACCAGCAGGGCCGCGTGCTTATCTGTGCGGGCCGCACGCTCCACATTTCCCCCACGATACAACTGTTATTATCTGCACCGAGCAGCTTGTTTGTAAGCGTGCCAGAAGCCAGACGTCTGCATCCGACTTTGATCACTCCCCGCAGTCAGCGTTAATTCTCCTCGACAGACAGTGCGTGTCAAGTTTCTGCGTGGATTTTAAAGCAAACTCTCCTCTGGATGGTTTGTAATTACACATTGTTTGGAATATGCCCCCCCCCCCACCCCTTTGCATGCAATAGTGCACCAGAGGCAGGGTCAGAATGCTTACTCACTGCACAAACAGTCGACCCCCCCACATCCACTGCAGGCGGGTATTTAGGCAGACCAGAATCAGACACGCATCAGCAGAAATGCAGCAGTGACACGGGCTGCACTGACGTCTCCAAATCCTAGTGGGAACGCTGATGAACTCATGCGACCCTTATCGTCATATTACACCTGCACATCATGTCTAAATTGTATCATAGCCATTATGTTACGGAGGTGAGCGCATGCTGGTGGCTTTAGAGTTGTGCATGCAGGGCAAACATGCATCGTTATGTTTAGGGTGCAAGCGTAACGTTTCCTCGTATCGTTTGATTTAAAATAATAATTGTTATTCATCTCTGTTGTTGGGCTGCGGCTGCTGTGGGAAATGTGTGGAGGCATTTTTTATTTATTTTTTAATCCGTCTGGACATGCAGACTAGTGCTTGTCATTTCTCATAATTGTCACTACCTGCACTGAGGTGGACGATGTGTGTGTGTGTGTGTGTGTGTGTGTGTGTGTGTGTGTGTGTGTGTGTGTGTGTGTGTGTGTGTGTGTGAGGGGGGTGTAAGTGTGTTTCACATGTGAGGGCAGATAAATTATTCATCACAGCCAGATTGAACTTGCGTTGGGTAAAGTGCGCCCCAATAACACGCACCAGAGATGAAACCCACCGACTGGTTGTGTGGAAGATGGTATATTTAGTTGTTGCCTAAAATAGACCTGATTTGACCTTTTTTATATTTTAAAAATGGCAATAAAGATGTCTAAAAAGCCAATAAAAGTGATCTACAAGTATCATTTGGGCCTTTTTGACAGCGCTCATTAGAGTTTTGCTAAAACTGTAGCCTACTACCAAAACAAACCAGTCTTAAACCGCTAACATTATGATTTAAATCAGACTGTCTGATAAATATCTGGTCAGATATCCAACGCTTACGGCAGCTTTCTGTTGGTTTTCTTAATAACCGCCACAGAAGGGTGGCGGAATAGTAGAAATGTTTCTGGATGGTGAAGTAGGACCTCTAGCATTAGCAGTGGTCGTGCTAGCGATGCTAATTAGCTGCAGTAGCTGGTACTGCTAGCTAGCTGTGCTGTAGTGGCCTTGTCGCAGCGGTTTAAATGCAGTGATCTTTCTATTGTGGTAAACGTAGCGGGAATTGTGTTTTGTAATCTCCATTTTCAATATCTCTCTACAAAACAAGTGACGTTGCAGCGACGTGTTCTGTTGAGTCAGTGAGCTGGGGGGTGTTTTCAGTAGGTGCGGTTCACACGGACCTGTGGAAACTGGAGTTCCTCTGAGCAAACAAGAGTCAAACTCTTTGAAACAGGAAGAACGCTTCTGTGACGCGGAGATGAGGCAGTGAAAAAATAGCTGTAGCTGAAAGCTATGTATATGTGTATATGTATGTATGTATGTATGTATGTATGTATGTATGTATATTGGACCGCGAGAAGCTCCAGTTCTGTGTGGAGCTTTGGATAACACCTCCCCGACTTGGTCTCTGCTTAATTGAAGAGTCTGAGAGAGCTTTTGCTTGTTCTGGGCCTCGTGCTGCCTTCATTGTGCATCAAGATTCACACCAATCCACTTTGCACAAATAATACCCCCTCACACATACGCACACACGTGCACGCACACCACTTTGTTAATACACCTCGTTGGATTAAACATCAACTTTGGCGCTGTGAGGCTCACTGTAGAAGTAGGCTGGATGTGCCCACTGGTACTAATCGCTTTTGTGTGCGATCAACTGAAAAGAAATGGGCGGGGCACACTTGCCTCTTTAAGCCATAACCGTACGTGAATAATGCCTATAGGTCCTTCTTTTGTCTGTGTCTGTATAGAGCAATGTGGGATTTTACCTCTGCATTCTTTCTCATTCAACTTTCTTTCTTCTAGGTCTCACTTGCCTGTCGGGAGAAGGGAGGACTTACGAACCGTGATTGGCGCTCGCTGGGACAAGATCTAGATCTAGATCTAGCTTTTTTGAGGGCCCACGAACGATCCTTGAATCCATTACCGCTTCTGTCAGATTCCCGTTAACCGGTGCAGTACGTGCGAGCCGAGCCGTAGCCGTAGCGGGTCAAGGTTGCCTCGCTAATCACTGACGCATCTACACATCTCATCGTAGCTCCACGCAAGCAAACGTCCTCGGGATGGCGGAGTCCATTTGTGCGACCGGCATGGCCGCCAAGCTGAGGAGCCAGTGGGATCGCAACGAGGGCCTGGGACAGAACCACATGGCGGTGAAGTACCTGGGTCAGGACTACGAGGGTCTGAAGGCCCAGAGCCTCCAGAGCGGCAGGGCGTTTGAGGATCACCTGTTCCCTTGTTGCGCGTCGTCTCTGGGATTCAACGAGCTCGGCCCGAGGTCCGCCAAGACGTCTGGAGTGCGCTGGATGAGGCCCGCGGTGAGAACGGCCTCTGGTACCAACGTGGCTCCAGGGGAGCTTAAGTGGTTCTTTCCCAGCGAGGAAAATATGGGCTGATCAAAAACAACAAAGCTATTTTTGATTCTCTTTGTGGTGACTCGTCTCCCTCCGCGTCTTGCAAAAGCAGAACTCGACGGGTTTTGGAGAAAGCTGCGAAATATGGACATTAACTTTGCGTTTCAATGATCCCATGAACTCCACCACGCATTGACCGGTTGACTTACACTGAGCAGATAATGACTGAACATCCACTGTTTTATATTACCTGCTAAAAAAACCTCTATCTACCGCGCAACCTTTCCCCACAGACTAAAATCTTAGTTGCTTGGCAACTAAACTTTCTCTCAGCAACGATTGGCCGATATGGTTTTAATGTCCCGGCAACAGCGGTCTGGAGTTGCCTCCGTGTCTCCAGGAGGTTTCCATGCACCTCCTTTGGATGCCTCCCCTCGAGCCCCTCTCAGCCCCCCGTCGGCCCCCCGCTGCATTATAAATACATCCGGGTGGGGGGGGGGCGCGTCTTCATCGGCGTCTATCTGAAGACGGCACGCGCTCTCGTTACTGTTTGATTCGTGCGCACCTTGCCGGGTCGCTGATGCTTTCCCAGGGTCTCGCCCCCCCCCCCCCCCAAAGTACCACGTTGTATAATGCATGCGCCTTGCCAGCACCAAGGGGGATCCGTAACATTTACACTGCATGAGACCAGGGCGGCCCGTGGTGTTGACTTGTTGGAACCTGTAGACGCCCCGCGCCGTGTTCTCCTGTGGATTCGACCCGCTCGGCCCGAGAGAAGGACGGGAAATGTAACGTGCCGGTGAGAAGCAGATATCCACAAGCAAGCGTTGCGGTAATGTGTTTGTGTTTTCCTCCACCTCGCAGGAGATTTGCAAGCGGCCCGAGTTCATCGTGGACGGAGCTACACGCACAGACATCTGTCAGGGAGCTCTGGGTGAGACGCTGCTCCGTCGGGATCCAGATGTTGGGAGGAAAAGTTTTTAGATTCATTTGCGATCGAGTGGAAACTCTTAAGTGTAGTTAGGCTCTCGTCTCTCTGCGGGGGCCACAGGCAACCTGATCCCTCCCCGCTAGGATATGATGTTCCCTTATTGAAACAGTGAACTATTATCAGACTCACACAAGATTAAACTAAAAGCTCATGAGAGAAAAGCCATATTATGAGTTAAGACTTGCTTTTCATTTTGTATCTTTTTAAAATAGATTCAATTTATGCTCCAAACACATTCCTTGTATGTGTAACTCTGGTTTACTTTTGGGATTTTGATGCAACCTTTCGGCCGGTCGTCTTCCAGAAGAAATCAGTCATTGAAGTCTGCAGACTTTTCCAACTGCGCTGCTGTAAAGTTTTATGACTTTGTTGAGAGAAAAAACTAAACCCTTTAATGCTCAATGCTGCACTTTGCATCAAGCAGAGCGATGTCTTCATTCGATCCATGTTGGTTCCTCTCTTATTCAGGACTTTAGCTTTGCTTCAGACAAGTTGAGCCTCTCCCATTTTCCTAGAAGGCAAAGCCTCTTGTCTTTACTCAGCGTTCAATGGGCTGGAACAAATCCAGTTTTGTGAGGTTCTTTCTCACTGAGCGTGTGCGTGTTCAGGTGTGTGTTCAGATTGAATCTCAACGGCCTAAAATGAAGTCAAAAATAGTTCCGGATTCTGTTCTCGTCACATGTTTGACATAAATATCCTGCTATCATTTAGCATTCAGATATAGCACGGGGGGTATTTGCATCCCTTGTAATAAAACTGTGTGTATTTTTGTGTGTGTGTTTGTGCGTGCGTCCTCAGGGGACTGCTGGCTGCTGGCCGCCATCGCCTCGCTGACCTTGAACGACAACCTCCTCCACCGAGTGGTTCCACACGGACAGGGCTTCCAGCAGGGCTACGCCGGCATCTTCCACTTCCAGGTGACCACCGCGGGGGACGAAGCCCGCCGTCCTAACAGGCTTCTGTGGACACGAGTGGACTTTCCCACCCAGCGTCTTATGGAACCGCACGCATTGAAACGTAGAACGACGACAGAGGGATGAGAGACCTGGGGGGGGCGAATCAAACCCAACGGGCCTTAAAAGAAAACACTGAAAACGCCGCTTATTTTCACTGCTTTGCAGGCGTTGAGGCGAATGGCCACGGAGTTAAGAACGAACCTTTCATTTCACAAGCTCTCCTTTTGTTAAACCTCGCCGAGTCAATAAAAGATAACGCCGCCGTCCGATCCACGCCCACTAAGTACGACCGCAACCTGCGAGCGTTTGAGTCACCGGCTGAACCCAGATACCTGCACACCTGTGAAAGGAACCAACACCCAACAAGTCCTCATCTCAACAAACCGCTGCTTAGGACCCTGAGGCGTCCAACGTTAAGGCGAGGGACCAGTCTGGCCGGTTTGTGGCTTTCTTTGAAAAATACGCAAAATACTCAACCGCACACACACAACAATGCGTTGTGTCAGGGCGCTGTAGCTGTGACACAGGTCAACAGGGCGTGCATTCAGTGCGGTGTGTGTGTGTGTGTGTGTGTGTGTGTGTGAAATCTCTGCAGCGGTGCTTTGTGGCCGCGTGGAGGCTGATTTGAATGTTGTGTTTCTGGAATCGGCGCAGGTCTTGCAGGCGGCAGCTGAATGTGCAACACAGCCGACCTCCCCCCCGATGTATTCAAACGCTTAATTATTCATGATGCGTAGTAGACGCGGCGGGCTCCTCTGGTGGACAACGAGCACTAAATGAGGAGCGTCAATGATTTGTACATTTCGTCCACGTGGAGCCGGATCGCCTCTTTGACGCAGGGAGGCTTTTTCTGTTCCCCTGCCAAGTGATAACGAAAGAGAGAGAGAGAGGGGGGGGGGGGGAGCTGCGGCAAATCAAAGACACATGGGAACACGTGTAGGAGCGCGGCTGCGGTGTAACACGAGACACACACACACACACACACACACACACACACAGCATGCCCGGGAAATCCATCCGTTTCCCCAGAAGACAAAGATTCAAGCATCTTTTTTGGTAATTTTGTTGCTGACTCATCTGGTATCGGAGGGTCAATGAATAACGACACACACACACACACACACACACACACACACACACACACACACACACACTCCATGACACAGAAAGGCAGCCGAGGGAAACGAGGCTTTTGACCCGTTTTCTCGCTGATCATTTGCAGAGACTGTGCGATCATTCACAGACGCACACTGGAAACGATACTTGTATTCGCTGTGAGGGGCTTGTGACGTGCGCGGCGAACGTGCACGCGTGGGGGAACGGCTCGTAAATAAACCTCGTCTCCTTCGAGCACAGCGAGGCTTGGCCTACTTTGGTCGCCCTCTTTCTCTCCGTCGTGCCTGGATGTTGTTGTTGTTGTTGTTGTTTTTAGCCTCCCGTCATTGTGTTTGCATCTTTTATTCTCATGCTTTTCAGTTTCTTGCAGCTTCTCATTTTTTGATGTTTCCATTCCCTGTGTGTGTGTGCGCGCGCGCGCGGTCGAGTCTTCCAGGGATTCCCTCTTTTGTTTCATTTCGGATTATTTAAGCCTCTGGAAAAACGGCCCAGACCTGAAATGAGTCATCCCCAAATGTAATTACGAGTGCACTGCAGTGAGCGTCTTAATTGAAGTAGGACGGAGGGAGTCTGCAGGCGAACGAAGGGCGGGAGAATAAATTATAAAATAGGCAATCTCAGTCGGAAACAAACGAAACCAAACTGGGACAGAATCGCTCATCGTGTTCTTATTATAGCCGGAGATTCACACGGAACAAGTGAGCGCTTTGTTGACTCGCGTTAAAAGTGGGACACGTCACACGCATTTGGGCACCCAGAGGGCCTACACACACACACACACACACACACATCTGTAAAATTCCAACACACGCACACCTTTTATTGGCTTTTTATGACCCTGCAACTTCCTTCCCCCTCTTTCTCTCTGTTCTGCAAACCCGATTACTCCGACAGAGACGCATCTCTCTCACGGCCGAGAGGTTTGTTGCTTGTTGTTCTTCTGTACGAGTCGACCGACGTGACAGAGGAGAGACGACAAGCCGGCCAGCTTTGATCGATCGATGTGAAAACCGCGTCGGATATTTATTCGTCCACTTGCGCGCAACTCTCCTTTCTGTCGGTCTCATAATTCGGATAACGGGATGTGAAGGAGTTCCCATCAAACCCAGTCAGACTCAAACGGCCGTGCGTTCAGCTCTTATTCAGACAATATGTACACGCGTATAATATATGTTGGGTTGGACTCTGGTGCTCCCTGCTGGCCAACACGGCCACATGTTAAGGCCACATGTGGATCTCCTTTACAAACCTCAGCTGGTGGTCCATCGCCTCAGGGGTCGGTCTCCTGATTCCTCATCCTGAGATTTAACAAAAGCCCCTAAAATCCAAACGTGTCTTGACTTCTTCTCCTTTTTTTTTCAGTTCTGGCAGTTCGGCGAGTGGGTGGAGGTGGTGATCGACGACCGGCTGCCGGTGAAGGACGGGAAGCTGCTGTTCGTGCACTCGGCCGAGGGCACCGAGTTCTGGAGCGCGCTGCTGGAGAAGGCCTACGCAAAGTGAGGGAGCGCTCGGTGTACGCCGGGACCACGTGACCCCGGCCGGGTTTAGCACAAACGCGCCCTTCGACCGGCCCGTGGGAGAGTCTGCTGGGAGCCGATGAGTTGTAAGCGTGGTCGTCACTGCTCTCTCTCCGCAGGCTGAACGGCAGTTACGAGGCCCTGTCGGGCGGCAGCACGTCCGAGGGCTTCGAGGACTTCACGGGCGGCGTGACGGAGATGTTCGAGCTGAACAAAGCCCCCCCCGACCTCTTCAGCATCATCAGCAGGGCCATAGAGAGGGGGTCCCTGCTGGGCTGCTCCATAGAGGTCAGTGCGGGCGGCGTCCGCGCAGCCTCTGCTCAGGCCAGCTGTTCCCCTCGGTTCCCAGTCTTTGTGCTAAGCTAAGCTACCTGCAGACGTGACAGCGCTGTCTGACTCCTCATCCGGCTTCTTGGGGTTGAAAATGTTGAAATATTCCTTTAAACGTCTGTGGAACTAGAAGAATGCGTGTATTGTGATCTGTGACCAGAAGGGGGCGGTAAAGATCGGCCAGCTTTCTGCTTAGAGGCGCAGAGATTTCTGCGCCCGAGGGGATGAAAGCTTTGAATGAAAGAAAATCCGGCGACCGAACAAAGAATACGGCAGAACAAAGCTTCCCCCCCGGATCGATTCGTTTTCTTTACGCTCCTCAGACCACCAGCTCCAGTGACCGGGAGGCCGTCACGTTCAAGAAGCTGGTGAAGGGACACGCTTACTCCGTGACCGGGGTGGAGGAGGTGAGTCACGTGTCACAGCTCTTGATGTTTTCAGCTACTTTAGCGCAGCGTCACCCACCCGGAATCATCGGAGTAATTCCTTCGCCGAGACTCGAGAGGGAATGAGGAAGCAAGTTGGAGTCATTTAGATGTTGTAATCAGGAATGCGGCCCTGTGAATAAAATCACAATATAAAAAGCTGCGTTGGCACAGTAGTACGGTCTCCGTTTCAATATTGCGTTTTTACTTTTAAGTAAAACTTGACGCCTGTCTTTGTCCCCAGGTGGTGTACAGAGGGAACACCACCAAGCTGGTTCGCATCAGGAACCCGTGGGGGGAGGTGGAGTGGACCGGCGCCTGGAGCGACGAGTACGACTCGACTCTTCTACGTGAGGCAGGGAAAACACCAAAAGCATCACTGGGATTGTGTGGTGATGTTTGTTCTCCCTCAGCTCCAGGGAGTGGGACAATGTGGATCGCTCCGTCCGAGCTCGCCTGCAGAACCGCAGCGAGGACGGCGAGTTCTGGTGAGTCTTCCCGCCGGCCGCTCTCGCGGTTCAAAAGGTCGCCGCCGTTGGGTTCGAAACCCCTCGCACGTGTTGACGGAACACCCATTCTTTTTCTACCTCCCGCCTCTCAGGATGTCCTACGCCGACTTCCTGCGCGAGTTCAGCCGCCTCGAGCTCTGCAACCTGACGGCGGACACCCTGCAGAGCAGCCAGCCCAAGAAGTGGAGCTCCTCGCTCTATCAGGGCGAGTGGAGGAGGGGCAGCACCGCGGGGGGCTGCAGGAACTTCCCAGGTATCACTTCCAACCGCGACGAAAACGCATCGCCGCCCGCCGCTCGATTACCAAACTCTGGTTTCCCCGATTGGTCTTCCCAGCGACCTTCTGGCTGAACCCTCAGTTCAAGATCGTGCTGCAGCACCCGGACGCTCCGGGTCAGTCCGAATGCAGCTTCCTGGTCGGCCTCATGCAGAAGGACCGCAGGAAGAAGCGGCGGGAGGGACAAGACATGGAGACCATCGGGTTCGCCCTCTACGAGGTCAGCCGCGCTCCCACGAAACGGACTCGTCGAGTGGAGAAGCTCTACCTTGTGTTCCCTTGTTGTTCTCTGATCACGTCTTTCTTTGTCTCTCGGTCACTCACAGGTTCCAAATGAGGTACGAGTCGGACCAACTTCCTGCTGAGACCAACCAAATACTTGTAAATCCATTGCAAAACCCCAGCGGACCTTTTTTAAGATGCCCAGACTCTCGCTCGCTCAGTTTGTTGGCAGGTCGGGCGTCCACCTGAAGAAGGACTTCTTCCTCACCCACGCCTCCAGCGCTCGCTCCGAGCTCTTCATCAACCTGAGGGAGGTCAGCTCGCGGCTGCGGCTGCCGCCCGGCGAGTACGTCATCGTCCCCTCCACCTTCGAGCCGCACAAAGAGGGCGACTTCGTCCTGAGGGTCTTCTCCGAGAAGCCCGCCGACTCTGAGTGAGTGACGGACGAAGCCAATCGTTCGAAAATTCCAAAGCTGGCCGACGAGATTAATCACTCGGAATCTTTGTCCCCCCCACCTCCCCCCCCCGCGTCAGGGAGCTCGATGACGACGTGGCAGCGGAGCTTCCCACTGAGGTGAGGCGACGGAAAGACCCACAACGGGACCGCGGCGGACGTGCGTGGAGATGTTTGCTCAGATGATGCGTCCTGTGTTTCAGACCCAGCTGGACGAGAGCCAGATCGACCCGGCCTTCAAAAACCTCTTCAGACAGCTGGCCGGGCCGGTAGGCTGGACAAGTGCTTCCAAACACACACACACACACACACACACACACACACGCACACGCGTGTTCTGACGACTTGCCCGTGTTTGTGCCAACAGGACATGGAGATCAGCCTCACGGAGCTGCAGACCATACTGAATCGGATCATGAGCAAACGTTAGTAACGGCTGCCGTTGGCTTCTTCCTTTTTAAACGTGCCTTCATCCTTTCTGTCTGACTTCCTCCCGCTGACAGACAAAGACCTGAAGACGGACGGCTTCACCAAAGAATCCTGTCGCAGCATGATCAGCCTCATGGACGTATCCTTGAAATGGAAAAAAACCCAAAGAATCAATGATTTTTTTATTGCCAATTACACAACGAACACGCCCTGTGTATTGAAATGCTTGTGCTTGTCTTTTCTGGAAAGCCGACCAATTTTAAAATTAAAATAAAAATACAATATTTACATGCCCACGTTGGGGGTGAGTGGGGTCTTTGAGAATGGAGGCAGCTCTCCCGTGAACCCAAAGTCCGTGTTGCTCCTCAACCCGCCGGCTCAGACGGACGGCAGCGGGAAGTTGGGCCTGAGCGAGTTCCACGTCCTCTGGGAGAAAATCAAACGCTACCTGGTGAGATCGACCTGCCGACGCGGGGGTCACGTTTGCAGAATCTCTGATTTGTGTTTCTTGTTTTTATTCACCCGCCTGCTTGTGACAGACCATTTTCAGGCAGTTTGACTTGGACAAGTCGGGCACCATGAGCTCCTACGAGATGAGGATGGCTCTGGATTCTGCAGGTGGAGTTTCCTCGTTTCTATGACGAGACAAAGAAGAGACGCTTTTAAAACGTTCTGGTTCCCCCTCCAGGTTTCAAGCTGACCAACCAACTGTTCCAGCTGATCATCCTGCGCTACACGGAGGCCGACATGTCCGTGGACTTCGACAACTTCGTCACCTGCCTGGTCCGGCTGGAGACCATGTTCAGTGAGTGCCGCCGCCGCCGCCGGCGCTTCTCAATGCAAAACCAGCCACAGGCGTCTAAACCGCTCGTTCCTCCCGCAGAAACCTTCCACACCATGGACACGGACAAAGACGGCTTCATGTCCCTCAACTTCAACCAGGTACGCACGAGCACAGGCGCCAAGAGGCGCCTCGCTCTCCGCCCCGCCCCCTTTAACCCGCTCGCTCTCTGTGCTCCCCAGTGGATCACCCTGACCATGTTTGCCTGAAGACGAGCGGACGCCTCAGCACCGGACCCACAGTGCCTTCTCTCTCTCTCTCTGACTGTACATTTCGTCTACATGGTGCCTACATCTCAAACGTCTGCCAACTCTTTTACGCGTCATTAATTTTTTTAATTTTTTAGCATTTTTTTACTTTTAAAGATGTACAAACATTCGTTCAAACAAAGTCATTTGTTACATTTTATTCGGTGGACACAAAAAGGCCGTTCTGCCAGTTTGATATTATTATTATCATCATTTTTATCATAACAGCCAGTTGGAGAGGACCAAACCATCCTAGCAGCATTAAGCGGCTTATTTTCAGCAGACTTGCTGAGGTGATATCGATTGACTTGAATATAAGAATCCCCCCCCTCTCCGACTTGAAAGGTGCGCTTCGGTTCTTCGCTTCGGTTAAGCTCACGAGCGAAACGCCCCGCGGTCACGTAGCACTTGCTTTTTTTCTTTTTACCGTCCACGTTGCGACCAATCGCTCGCTCCTTTAAACTCCCCCGGGGGGCAGTTTGGGAGAACTTTGGTTTCCGTGGCAACGTGGTTTCTCTGCAGTAGAGAAACAAACTGCTCATTCTAAGGGGACGAAGACACATTGAATTATATTTTAGGGTGATTATACACGGAGGAAAACACTTTTTTTCTTTTTGCACTAAATGCTGCACACTGTTTCTTTAATTAAAAGGGTTAACTGGGTTGTTTTTTGTAGAAAATTAGCTGTCAAAAATGATTTTATAATAATTTACACTTACTACGGGATACTTTTGCACGGCCACGTTCATCCTATGAGGGGAAATAGGACCTTTTTTTAAAAGATTTTAAATGAAATGTCCACAAAGAGTTAAATGTTCTTGAGGAGAATCTGCAAAACGCTCTTCTGAGAGTATCTTTGTCCCGTCGGAAGGCTTGAAGCCGGCCGGCACAGAGGCCACGTGGAACTCACTCTTATTAACTTAAACTGGCGAAAATAATCCATGTTTCAGCCTCTCCTTCGCTTGCCGAGTCGACACTTTCTCCAGGCCCAACTTTGGTTGCGCTCATCGAGCGAGTGATGCTTCCTCGATGGTGTTTGCCGTAGGATTCTGCACGGCTGTTTTTACCGACGAGTCGTTTTTATGAGTCGATGAGGTGAAGGGAAACTATTATGCAGGTTGTGAGCATGCAGTGTGAAATGTGATTATATCGTCTAAACGCCTGACTTGTGTCATAACCTTCCTAACAAAGTGTTTTCGTGTGGCAAAATATTTTGTCACGCCAATTTTTCTCTTTTCTTTTCATTTTTGTCAATGGAGGAAATTGATTTGAAAGGTTTAACAGGTGACAGCAGATCTCTTACATTGATCCCGCAGCCAGCGTTTCCTCTGTTGGGTTTTTGCAGCAGATGCTTTTGTAACGTTACCAAATGTTTACATTCAGGGTCCTCTGGGATCCATATGCATCATATTACTGTGCAGCATCTCTTTGCCAAATAAAAATGGAGATTTCATTTGTCTCAATTTCTGTTTATTGCTGAATTTGTTTGTGATGATATAAAAAGCTCCCCTCGTCACCCCAAACAAGCTGGACGTAATAAATAACACATTTTAGTAACAACATTAATATGAAAAAACAAGCGCTGTAAAATACCTTAAGTCAACTAATGTACACATCTCACAATATTAGGAATTATACAGCAGATTTGTTTGCTCATTTTTAAGTTAAAACGACCACATTTACAGAGCTGATCAAATGTTTTAAGTTAGAACGAATACGTCTCGTTTAGAATGGTACAAAAAAAAAGGGTAGCGGAATTCCAGACGTCACAAAACGTTTGTGTATTTTCTCCAACAGCTCATCTAGATAACAAACTCATTGGGGTTTTCTTTGGCACGCCAGCGTCCCTCGGTCAGCGTCTCCGGCGTAGTTGTTGTTGTTGTTGTTGAGCTCCATCTTGGTCACCATGGTGGACACCAGCCGCTCCAGCTGCGCCGCCCGCCGGGTGCCCGTCTCCAGGACCTCCTCGTGGTTGGCCTTGGCCTCGCTGTCGTAGTCCATCACCGCCTGGTTGGTGATCAACGAGAGCGCGAGGACGCGCATGCCGCAGTGGCGCGCGACGATCACCTCGTGGGCCGTGCTCATGCCTGACGAGGACGAGATCGCGTGAACATGCTGCACATCCCCAACGCGTTGCTGGTGAACCTTTTTTCCTGTTGAGGCCGCTACTCACCGACGGCGTCGGCGCCCAGTTTGTGCAGCATGCGGGACTCTGCGATGGTCTCGAAGGAGGGTCCGCCCAGCACGCAGTACACCCCTTCCTTCAGGAAGTCTCCGTAGCCGAGCTCCCGCCCCACGTGCATGGCCATCTGCCGCAGCGCTCCGTCGTAGGCGTCCGACATGCAGGGGAACCGCGCGCCGAACCTGCCGGGGCGGAAGGATGGGGGTGTGGGACAAGTGGCAGGTTTAGGGAAGGGAGGGTTAACCCGTCGGGTTCAACAGGACCTCTGGACGCCAGAACGGGCAACCAGAAGGAAGCTTAAAGCCCAGTCGTCTCTTGTAAGAACCCGCGGTACCTCTCGTCGTTGGGTCCGGACAGCGGATTGACGCCAGCGAAGCCCGGCAGGTTGAGGTGGTCTTTGATGACCATGATGTCTCCAACTTTGAAGTCCCGGTTGAGGCCTCCGGCCGCGTTGGTCAGCATCACCGTGTCCACGCCGAGCAGCTTGAAGATGCGTATGGGCAGCGTGATCTGCGAGCAGAGGCGTCGTGCGTCAGGGGTCGCGGCATTTCCTTTAAAGGTCCTTCATAGTCCACGTGGGTTCGGGCGACACGCACCTTCTGGACCGGGTAGCCCTCGTACAGGTGGAAGCGCCCCTGCATGCAAACGCACGACCTGCCCTTCAAGGTGCCGAATACCAGCCGGCCCGCGTGTCCGTGCACTGCGGGGGGAAAAAGACGGTCAGCGGATGTGAGCGTGGAAATGAGCGGCCGGTCGGACACTCTCGGGGTTCTTTTGTCGCAGGTTGAGCTCACCGGTGCTCTGTGGAAAGTTGGGGATGTCCTCGTAGTTGAAGGCCACCTGGTCCTTCAGCATGTCGGCCAGGCCGCCGAGGCCCGAGCCGCACACGATGCCCACCGCGGGTCGCACGCCCGTCCGCGCCAGCAGCCAGTCGGCCGTGGCCTCGCACTCCTCGTAACCGTAGCTGGATGACACGGGAAGAGTTTTAGAGAGTTTTAAAATCAGATGCCACATTCAAGTCCCCCTGACTCCTCGAGTCGTTGAGCGTCAAGTGATGCGGTCAACGTAACCACGTTACGGGATAAGAGACTATCTGAGAACTGCCACCAATAAAGATAAAACACGTGAACTTTCTCATCCTGTCACGCACTTCAATGGTGACATAACACACACTGTGTGATTCCTCTCGTATGGCAAACCGCTGTCACTCGTGCCTTGATGGCCACACCAGACTGTGCTATAAATAAACAGCCTGCAGTGTTTTACCAATGGCTTCTGCCACAGGACGGGCGGTGGTAGACGATATTGATAGAGTGCTATAAAGTCCATTTTCGGGTTAAAAGTAACAGTTTAACTCTCTTTAGGCTCTCACTGCGATACATGAATGTCTTTTCACAGAGGCCTTTGCTGCTCAGAGAGCATGTGGTCTTTTTTTTTCGGGGGAGGGGTCCAAGCCGCACATGCCCTGGTTTAACTTTCACCCACGAGATGCCGTGTGGCCGGCAGCATGAGAGGAGAGCTGCAGTCCGGTCGAAGGAGACCACTCACCCTTTGTCTGCCATCACCAGCGATTCCAATAGACGAGAAGAAAAAAAGAAAACCAACTTCCAAAGAGGCAAAAACCTTGAATGGGAGTCCAGCTGATTGGAAGGAAACAAGGTTCTTCCTGCTGAGTCCTGGTGAAGTGTTGAGCTCTCACTGGTCTGTGGGAGTAAAGGCTCAGTGACCGGCTTTATTATAGGCACAGAGACCCCCCCTCCCTCGCCTCCTGCCCCTCCCCCTGCTGCTCAGTGTGACAACACACCCTCAAAATGACCCCCCTGCCCACCCCCCCCCATTCACACAATCAGAGTACACGCACACACACACACACACACACACCACCTGCCCTGATGAGTCATACATGTGAAGCAGAGATGGAGGAAGCATTACGGTGACCTGGTGACTCTCGCCTTCTCAAAACAACCTTTATCGCCTGCTGTTTTACTGCCATCGGTGTCCCTTCTCATACAGAGCGGTGGATCTGTTTGTGTCCAACGCCCTCCCCCACTACCTCCCCCACCGGGGGTCACCGCAGGTCACCGCACACTGAAACGGGGAGATTTACATAAGAAAAGAAAACCCCATTTGTGATCGGGTGTATCTTGTAGGGATCCCTCTATGCTTCTATATCTATATAAGTCCTGCATAGAATAACTACGGTCACAATCTTGGTTTTTGTTGAGTTTTTGTTCTGTTCTGCTTCTCCATCCCGCGTTCACGTGACTTCCTGTTTCCCCTCCACTGTAATTGTCCCCTTGTCTCCGTGTTGGTTTGTCGCCATTACCATCCTTTGTGCAAATGTCTGATCTAACCAACTTTCTTTCTCCTGGCCCCATTGTCAGGTTGCTCTTTTTCGAAGTTTTGAATATTTCTTCTCCTCCCCGTGGATCCACCCCCCGATTCCTGAACCGCTTCGGGTGTCGGGCCTTCAGAAGAGCAGCGCGGTGACACGAGAAGTTGTTATTTCCACCACACGTTCTCTTTCCTTCCACCCGGCATCTTCTCATCTGACGCACGGACTCACGGCCTTTCACACGTTTCCAGAGCACAACAAACGCACTCACGGTGTGTCAAATATTGATCGTGTGGGACAGCGCACACGGGGCAGGAAAACAGAGGGATCTCCAAACACAGCAGAGAAGCACAAAGCATAAAAGTGTAACTACTTGGTCTCTCACTGCTGCAATGAAGAACATGTTACACAACACTGGAGCGCTGACGAAGTCCTCACATCCATGTGCCAAATACCAGCAGTGTGCGACGGTTGTCTCTTACATGAGCAGAATCATCCAGATACACAAATAGGTTGTGTTTGTTCTTATGACGGGTGGAAAAAGTTCCCCCGTCTATCTGCTGTCTTATCTTTGTTTTGGAGGTGGGACCAAGTCACAGTTGTATTAAGACACTAAAATTCCCAAACCGTCTCAAACACTTAGAAATGCGGAACAAAAAAGGGCTGCAGAGTGCCGAGATCGACAGATGACGCACTCATGAGGTGAGTTAAGGTGTGCACGCAGTCGCTCGTGTGGTCATGTTGTGTAACGCTGGATGCACAAACGGGACCCGTGTGTGTCGTTATCGGTTCAGTTCCTGCAGCGACTGGATGAGGCAACGTGGGTGAGATCAACTTAAAAGACAACGAGCTGGAACCTTCGTGTGAAACCAAGCGTGGAATCCAAGTGGATTCTCCTCGTGAGGCCCCCTTGGTCGGCTGCTGGTCATGTGCTGCAGATCGGGTTGTCATCATGACGACCGCTTGACCTCGCGGAGGCCGTTAGCGAGCCGCCGCGGCGCGTTAGCTGAAACAGGCGGTTCTCACGAGTTCCTTCAGATCGAGCTCCTCTTCAGGAACGCTGGTTTATCAGATGAAGAGGTTGTAACATCTGGCAAAGACACAGTGAGCGTGTCCTCTTATGTTGAACTACATTCTCCTTGTGATTGTGCTTTAACTTGGGACCCGTCATGTCACATGAGGGGTTTCTGGTCACAAAGATGAGCTTTTTTTTTTCTTCAGCTTATAATTCAATAACTTTTTGTTATTTATTTAAAATTAATTTGATCTCCGAGTCTTAAGAAGCTCCAGCTTCCAAGACCAGAGTCCATATCAGTGTGAGGGGACGCAGAGGGGGCCATCCCTCCATTGCCCCCCCCGATTATACTTATAATGTAGCAAGTTGTAAATCAGCTTATTTGATGAAATTTCACTTTCTTGTGTCTTGTTCTTTTGAGTTTTTGTCCTTATGGTTGAAATGCTCTTATTGTAAAAACATGTAACGTGACGTAATGAAACGCTAAACCTTAAAAAGTGAGTAGAAAGAGACTAATGTATAGTATCTATATATATATATATATATAAAAATATAGCTATATAGTCTGTTCAAACTCTGAGTCTGAGGCGAAAGTTTATGAGCTTCACACGGACGACCTCTTGAGGCTGCTGTTGTACTACATCAACAATGTGTGTGTGTGCGTGTGTGTCTGACGGGTGTGTGTGTGTGTGTGTCTGACGGGTGTGTGTGTGTGTGTCTCAACCACCAGATGGAGCGAGAGACTAATACGCACTTGACTTTTTTTATTTTGGGTTTTTAAATGACAACTTGCTAACAATAAAACCACACGAGATGCAAAGGTTCTGGTTCCTAATTCTTTCTGTACAACAGTATTCGTTCTGTTTGTCTCTCCTTTATCTTTCGTTTCCCCGGTTACGTGTTTGCCTTCCTGTCTGGGATTGATGTGGTTTGTTGGGGAGTTTTGCATTCGTGGGCACATTTCTTCCTCGGAAAGAGGGTGGGTGGGGGGTGAGGTGAGGTGAAGTGAAAGTGACAGAATAAACAAAGGGGGGAGGGCGACGTGTGGTGGAAGCACAACTCGAACAAGGGGGCAGATCGACAAAGAGAGGGGAGGAAACAAGGAAGCAGGAGGTGAAGCCATGTGCCACTTCGTCTCCTTCCACCACGCCCCCCTCTCACAACCTCTCTCCTCTTCTTCTCTTCCTTCCTCTTTTTCTTTGCGGCCGGTTCTTTCTCTCTCCCCTTTTCTCCCTCTCCCTTTCCCTTTCGACTCCCTCCCACTGACCTCTGACCTCCGTGACACAGTTTTCCTAAAACTCTCGGCGGTCTGAAAGCGGAAGAGCGATGTGTTGGTTCCGTCTTTCAAACGTTTACCGGGTGGGTTAAACGAGTCGAGCCTTTATACTGATGTAAGAAAGTGGGAAAACATCTGGATTGCCACTTTCAGCTGATCAGAATATGGTTTTATTGTTAGAAAGTCCTTTCATTTGGAGGTAAAAAATGGAAGAAGCCAGATGTTTAAGGGATGGTAACACAGGAGGGGGGACACTCTGGTGTGATGTCAGGGGGCCCCGTTACTCCGAGGAACAGCAGCACCGTGCCGGCATGTCGGAGGGGCCCCCGCAAATTGATTGATGTGCACAACGTGCCGCGCCGGGTGTGTTTGTTCCCAGCTGCAGATTCGTGCGTTTCACTTCCTCAATAAGAAGGGATGATTCTATAGGGACCTGTTGTATCAGCGGGTGCCATTTTTGGAGCCTATAATCCAGATGTGTGAGCCCAAAAGAGTTCAAATGTTCCAATCAACATTATTCGGCCACGTGCACTCGGCCGATGACCTCCCCCCCCCCCTCCCGTCGCAGGCGGACATGGCACAGCATCACAGAACGGCAGGAGAAAGGAGGGCCTGTTCTCCTCCTTCCCCGTCTTTGATTTGTGAAATACCTCCGTCGTGTCTGCGCGACAACTTCCGGGCGCGTATCTCATCGCCATCGCGCCATCTACATGAGAAAGTTGACAAAGGCCGCGGCGGCGGAGGAGGCCTCGCCACAAAGGGGCCCATTCACAGAGTACAGTGAGGGAGGGGCCCCGGGGAGGGAGGGTGGGAGGAGAAGCCGGAGGGTGGGGGGGGGTTGAATTAATGAATTAAAAACGTGGTGAAACAGCGGTTGTCTGAACACATTTGGGTTTATGTAGAGGGGAGGGATGTGGGGGGGGGGGCGGGGGGGAGGGTGGGGGAGTGGACAGCCCAGGCTTTCTTTATCTTCTCGCACACAGCGGCGTCCGGCTTCACACGCAGGGAGGGAGAGCAGAGCGCCGCTCGCCCCGTTACATAAGGACCCAGTAACGTGGGGGGGGGCCGCCAGAACCGGGTCCCGCCAGTACCAGCGTGCCGGGAGACACCGGCTCCCTTCCTCTCCTCTCTCCTTCTCCTCCCCCCCTCCTCCCCCTCCACGGGGGGGCCACTCTTTCGACCGACCATGTTGTCTCTTGGAGAGCTTTTTTAGGATTCCGTCTCTCAAAAAAAGTAAGCGAGGATGACGAGGACGTAGAGGGACGAAGAGGAGGACGTGGTGGCGCGAAGAGAGTGAACGCTCTCCTCTTCTTTACAACCCCCCCTTCGAGACAGATCGAGTTGTCCCCTCTTTGTCTTTTTCTCGTGTCGACTGGACAGTGAAGCTCAACTGAACTTCTGCTACAAGTCAACACAAAGGTAAGACACACACACACACACACACACACAAAGTGTGTAAAAAGCAAATCAAAGGTTTGAATGAAATAAGATCTGACGGATTATTGTGGACATCCTCACAAGAGTCCTGCAGTATATGTGTCTCGGTCTCAGTGGGCCCCTCGTTTCTTTCTCTCGTGTTGTTTTTCTGCATCGCTGTTCTTGGAGCTGGCGTTTATCTCCAACGCGTGTTCTAAGGAGGGTTGCGATGGGTTCGTCGGAGGAAACGTGCTGCTCAAAGGCTCGGAGGTCAACGTCCAACAGGTGCTGCGTCTCGCTGCATCCGATGTGTTGTGATACGAGCGGCGCGTAACAACAGAGGAGGTTCCACTGGCGGCCGTGTGCTGCCACGTCTGGCTGACTGACACACAATTACCATTTAACATCCTACAATAGTTGATGCAACGCTATGGCTGCGTCAAGCAGAACAGAGCTCTGAGAGTTGTGATGGTGCTTTGACTCCAGAGTCTCCACAATCACACCTTCTCGTTGAGGAATCCTCATCAGCACCACGCCGGCAGTGCAGCGCTCAGATTTAGGGCAGGAAGGGCGGAGCGTCAGGCCCGTCCGACGGGGGAGAAGAAGAAGAAGGTAAAAGTCCGGCCTGCATCGCAGCTGCTCTGTTGTTCGATGGGTCGTAACTCCTCGGACGCTGACTCCAGGCAGAGGGAGCGGAGGCCCGGTGTTGGACGCACACCAAGAGGCTGTGGCACAATGACATCGCCGTGACTACTGATTACTTTTCACTTCCTGTGAATGATTGTGGAATACACACAGAATGCAGAGAGAATTAACCTCCGGGTGCTTTAGGGGAGAAGTTTGAGGTGGGAACTAAGTATCAGATCTTTGAGGTGTTTGTCAGGTGGTCGCACAGCATCAGAAACTCTCTCCCAAAGCAGCAACTGGCCAGATGTGAGAGCGGCCGCATTCCAACTCTCTGTTTCTGATTCATCAAACAGCTGTGTCACGTTTCATTTTCAATACTATTGAGGTGACTAGTATTCAGCTTTTTAGCAAATAAACTAGTAAAACACTTATCAGAAATGGCCTTGGCACGAAACCTCCTTTTTCCTGGTATTTTTTGGGGGGATACAGTACGTGGTTTTCACTAGACAGGAAAATTGCTCAAGTTTGAATGAATGAATCCCATGAAAACCAAAGCTGTGACAAATAGTGTTTCTATTTAGACCAGAAGTCTTTCGTTTCGTTTTTCAAGCCAAGGACCCCCAAACTGATGGCGAGGTGGAGCAGGGACCCCCTATTCCACGAAGTTTGGTCCGCCATCTTTTATTTTTGAGCTTCACGCTCTTTTGACGTGAGCATAAAGGCGATCTGATTGGCTGATGCCTGCGCGGTCGTATCAGGATGAAAGGAGCAGTGAGTGAACCGGTGCCCAGCTTGAGAGCTGCTGAGGGAAGCTGAGTGTGTGTGTTGCGGACTGACAGATAACGTCTTCACCATCAATTTATCCGTTCGCTTCAATATGTTGGATTCATGTTAATGTGTATTTAAAGACCATAAATAAAACTCTGATTCTGAAGACGTTTACATTTGTGGGGAAAAAAATTGTTTAAAACAATTGTCTTATCAACCAAAACTTTCGCGACCCCCCCTGCAGTACCTTCGCGGACCCCTTGGGGGTCGCGGACCCCCTATTGAAGACCTCTGATTTAGACTTTGACATCAAGGACGGCGTCCAAATGTACCATCCAGGCAAATATCTACTTGTTTAGTGATTGTTTGTGTTTCTTCAATTTAAGTTTAGTTAAAGACAAAGTGCTGTTGCCATAGAAACATCAAGCTAATCTATCCAGCTGGACTGCGGGTTGGCGTCTCGTGTCGGCTCAATTCGATGCCTCCTGTGTTGATGTTTGGACGGCCCCCTTTCAGCGCGGTCACAGGCCGCTCTGGCGAGGACGGCGGTCAGGGCCATTCAGCCCGTGTTGTATCGGGTCTTTTCAGCGCGGTGTCCCGGCTTCTTCTATGGTCGGGGACACTGGACGGGGACACCGAGTGGAAGGGATCACTCCCTCCTCCGGAATACTAATGACCGTCTTTTGTGACCGGTCTGTTTCCTCCACCTTCGCTCCACGCAGCCCTTCCTCTCTCCCTCCGCCTCGCCGTCCCTTTCCCTCCCTTTTCCTCTTTCATCTCTTTGTCACCGGGGAAATCTTTAACCCTCCGTGCCGCTCTCCTCTCCCCCGTCTAACTCGCTCTCTCTTTCACTCACCCGCTCGTATTTTTCAATGGTGGCTTTTGTCCCTTTCATCTCCGTCGAAAACAAAGCATTCTTGTGAGGACAGGACAGAGGGAAGGAGAGCGACGAAGAGGAAGAGACCCTGACCTTGAGCGTGGAACAAGTCATTTCACAATAAAGGGAATCCATATCGATGGGACAAGGGTGGTGATGTTCTGTGTTGTTCCTAAAGAAAGACACGGATAACACCCATCCAACAATGAATTGAAGCTCGTTGGTGATCACCAATACAAAGCTAAAAGGGTATTGTTTCATCAGGTGACAAGTTGGCCACTTCACATGTCATGGGTGTGTTTAGATCCCCCATGCGTGCGCCAAGTCCTGACTCTGCAAATCACACATTCCTCAGGACAATCGATGGCATTGTGCTGCGCTCGAACCGCTCTGAAGGTCTATACGTTCAACACGCGAGTGTGTGTCTACTGTATGTGTAGGCCGGAGCTACGCAGGGTTCAGAGGTCAGCCGGAGATGGACACGGCCAATCACACGGGCCTCCTCTTGACCCCGCCTCCCTCTCCCCCTCCACATGTTAGTATTCAGAGCACAGACGTCCACACAGATCTCTATTCATTCTCTCGGTGTGAGCTCCAGCATGGAGAGGGCAGAGGGAAGGACAGAGCGTATCACATCGTCCGGTTTCTCGGGCTTTTGTTTGTGTTGTTTTGTTTTAGGTTTTTGTTGCATTCGCTTCGGAAAGCCGAGGCGGTTTGAGACAAAAGGGCGAGAGAAGGAAAGAAAAAGAAGGATACGGGGAGAAACCGCAATACAGATAAAGGTGAAGCTGTCAAGTGTGTACTTAACCCCTTCAGTGGGAACGAGTGCCCGTGGCACCGGTGGGAGGGGTGGGGCAGCTTCTCGTTTTGTTAATATACTGCTGACCCTCACTTACACTTACATAAAGATCGATCCCACCACATTACACCTCCATTGTCCATTGCCTTCCCTCGAAGGTTGTTCAATGACAACAATCTCTGAGCTTGATGAGTGATGGCGTCGTTGTATAGGAGATCAACATCAATTTCAAATAAAATTGTTTCTGAGTGTACCAAAACACTACATGCACGTTTCATTATGAATGAACATATAATACCAAAAAGCAATTTGCTCCCATTCCAATCGCCTGAGAATCCCTGAAGTGGGTGATAAGGCCTGGCCTTCACGCTTCCATAAAGGTGTTGGATGGGGTTGAGCTTCCCAACTGGGAAAACCATTTTTTTGTGAACCTTGCCTTTGATGGCATTGAGGTCTCATTAAGATTCATTAAGATAGAAGAGGGTTGTCCAGCAGAAACCTCAGCATCCCATCTCAATTCAATAGCCCTCTTGTGCAACTGACACGTGAATGAGCCTCCACTATTACACTTTTAATGTGAAAGAACAGCTGTGCCTTCATGCTCAAAAGAGGCTTTTATTTTGACAAGGCCAGCTGCCAGAAAAGGGGGGGGGGGCTTATTTGGACCACCATGGTACCACACCTCTGTGCAGTTGAAAAATGTGCTCCTAATCCCCTTCCTCTTTCTTCATCGTCATCTCCCTCTCTTCCCAAATGTTCCCCTCTTTCATTATTCTCATTCATGTGGTTATTGTGTGTTCTCTTTTTTGTCCTTTTCAACACATCCTGCACCTTTTCATTTCACTTGGTCTTATTGCCCCGACCGACTATACCCCCTTCCTCTCTCCATCTCAGCTCTCTGCACAGCCTCTGTACCCACTTTTCTCCTTCTCCTCACCTGCTGTTGTCTCCGTCTCCAACCCCCTGCAGCTCCGGACCATGACCTCAACCTCTCCTCCCTCCTCCGAAGGCTCCTCCCCTCAGAAAGTATGCCACTCCGAGACGCAGACCGACATCACCAAGCCCCTGCTGGACTCCCCGGGTGGGACAGGAGGCGCCGGTGCAGGAGGAGGGTTGGCGGGAGCCGAAGGGCCCAACGCCCTGCGAAGGAGGCGCCGGGTCCTCTCGAAAGACGGACGGAGCAACGTTCGCATCGAGCACATAAGCGGGCTAGGGGCGCTGTACCTTCGCGACCTCTGGACGACTTTCCTGGACATGCAGTGGCGCTACAAGTTCTTCCTCTTCGCTGCCACCTTCGCTGGGACCTGGTTTGCCTTCGGTGTGCTTTGGTACCTAGTGGCATTGGTGCATGGAGATCTCCTGGGTAAGGAGGAGCGAAACGGGAGGATGAAGCTTTGTCTTTATGTCCTCTGGATGTTGTAACACAATGCCTTTGATTGATCGAGTTAACAAGAAAGGCGTACAGTTTTACATTTCAGTGAGAACGTGAGAAGGATCTGGCAGTACACTGAGAGATGGAACAGAACGTTCCTTGATAATTTGTTTACAACCCCAAAACCCAAGATCCTCTGTTCTTCCTCCTTTCCTCCAGAGTTTGACCCCCCGTCCAACCATACTCCTTGTGTAATGGAGGTTAAGACCCTGACGGGAGCCTTCCTCTTCTCTCTGGAGTCTCAGACCACAATCGGTTACGGCTTCCGGTGCATCACCGAGGAGTGTCCCGGAGCCATTGTCCTGCTCATCTTTCAGCTAGTCATCACCATGGTGATGGAGATCTTCATCACTGGCACATTCCTGGCAAAGGTAGTCATGGGTAGTTTTTTTTTACTTTGAGGGCTCCCCGCCCCCAAAAACATGGGGTATTCTTTTTCTTTATAGTGCTTTTGTTAGATAGTTGAGTCGGGGCATTGAGGTTCATTATTCACCTTGATATGTCCTTGGTTTGCCCATCCTGCCCATCACCACCATACCCATCATTTATAGCCGCTGTGACACGTTTCCCTCCTCTTGTAGGTTGCTCGTCCCAAGAAGAGAGGCGAGACTGTGAAGTTCAGTCAACACGCCGTTGTGTCAAATCACGAGGGTCGACCCTGCCTCATGATCCGAGTGGCCAACATGCGCAAAAGCCTGCTGTTAGGATGCCAGGTATGCAAGTCGCTTTTGGGTATGATTGTAACATTGCACATGTTGCACCTGTGAACTACACAGTGAAGGAAATGGTTAGAAAAGCTTTAAATGTGCTGCTATGATTTCCCATGCTCAACCACCCCGTCGTCCTATGATGAAGATATTGGCCGTTCTGGTTACAGGATGCCTTCTGCAACCTCTTGGCTACATTTACTGACTCCATCTTGGCTCCCAGGTGACGGGGAAGTTGCTTCAGACGTCGCTGACCAAGGAGGGCGAGACGGTGAGGCTGGACCAGCGCAATGTGCCTTTCCAGGTGGACACGTCCACCGACAGCCCCTTCCTCATCATCCCCCTGACTTTCTACCACACCATCGACGAGAACAGCCCTCTAAGGGCCTGGGCGGCGAAAGGTATGCCCGACTCCACGGCGTCGAAGGTTGTGTAGAAGGTCTGATGCGTAGACTGTGATACCGGTGGTTTGTGTAGCTCAACGTGGGCGGCGGCCTGGATGAGGAAGCAGAGGAGACGGCATAACAACGTTTCCAATATAGTTTAAATTGAGAACCCTATTACCCTATGAGGGTTGAGGCACATGGGAATCCTGCCATTTGGCACAGTAGCTCCTGCTTTGGTCTGATATCAAAATATCAAAAACAAAACTGCTTCATTAATTGTAAGTGGAAAAATAAAATGACAAAATAGTCATTAAATGTTTTACAAAATGTCTTGAGCACAACTGTACGTGCAGTCAGCATGTATGTGTACGTAGGTGTCTTGGTATTCACGGTCATGTGCCGCGCGCCCGACTGCCTCTAGCTGTCCACAGTCGGGCCGGTTTGGCAGCGGAGGAGACGCTCTCTCCGGCTGGAATGTGTGTGAGAGAGATCGGCGGAGACACCCCTCATTAGAGGACAATGGCGTACAGTCTGGGGTGCTGACACGAAGCCCGCACGGATCCGCTTACGGCAGCGCAGACCTCTCAGCGCTGGACGCCACAAAGGCATCGGCACTGACGGGCTCTGACCGCTGCGTCATTTTCACTCACACTGCTCGTTTAGCGCAGACTTCTTATTTCCTCAGCCCCACTTGACAGACTTGACTTTTCCTTTCAGGAAACTGATACCGGAGCCATAAGAAAGGGATTGAATTACACATAATAGTGTCCATGGTACCACAGTAATCCTTGTTCTAAATGGCCACTGTAACAGTAGTCAGTGTAGTTTCATCCGGCTTGTTAAGAGTTACATAAATCCAGGCCTTAAATGCACACGTCACATGAAAAGAAATCTACAACCAAATCTACAACCGATCACATCTTGAGTGGTGAAACACATTCTATCTCGCAAAAAGCATTGCAACATCTTTTGTTTTTCTCAGATTCTCAGATTTGAGATTTGATATCTCTAAATTTCCCTAATTCAATTAAGGCACATGATAACCCCACGTAGACCATGGATTAATGGTTGACTGTCTCTTATGGACCCTTTAAAAAGTCTTGGTACCACTACTTCCTTGATAATACTCACGCCTGCTCAGTCAACCCTAACCCTTCAGTGCTCACAGGTTCTTTGAACAGAGCCTGAGCGCTTCCTGCAAAGCCTGCTTTATGGTCCCGACATGTACTTTGTTTAAACGGGAACCTGCTCCCATGAGGACATTGAAAACTGGACTCCAGTGCAACAGCACTGAATCTTTTTGCCGTTGTGTGACCAGGAGCCACCAAATTCAGGAGAGGGCAGAACACCGTGGAGACGGCCCATAGAGGCGTCATGGCACATTCCTCTTAACCATGTAGTACCCTGTACCACACAAGGCCGATGGAAGTGTGTGTGCGTGGGAGACAATAAAAGGCTCGTTGGTCTGTCAAATATTAACTAACATCGGCATGCTTACAAAGACGATACAAAGAACCTGAGGTTTAGAAGTTTTTCATTTTCGCTTAGTTTCACCAAAACCACACAGCTGAGGCAGGTGGATGTGTTGTCAACCTTGCAGCAGCAGCAGCTTGTACCATGCAGCTGGAAAGATCTCTGCATGAATGCACTCGGAGCCCTTTGCACCGCCCAACAAAGAGAATCCCTCTCAGTTTGTTGCAGGGAGCGCGGGTGGTTGCGAAACCCCTCGGGAACGATACCGGGTCCGGCTCAGGCTGAGGACTGTTCAGACAGATGACAGAGTCTGCTCTCTGAGCCTGTTGACGCAGGTGTGTGTTCGTTGGAGTGAAGGAGTCTTTTCAGCGTGGCCTTTGTGTTATTGGGTTTGGGATTGATGTCAAGAAATATTCTGTTTTTAGAATTTGTGACACATTTGCGATTGGAGCGCTTGTAGGTTGAGTGTTCGACTTCCTGGAATGAGTTCTGTCAGTGTGTGTGTTTTTGTGTGAGGTTCTTTCAAGTGCTTATGGAATCAGTGGGTATAAAGTGAATATTGAGTGGGTTTTTCAGGTGGCCGGAGAATCACTAAAAAGCCCCTTAATTAGCGAAGCTATGATTGAGGAATTGACTCCATGTGGTTCTCATTGTGACAAGGGCTAGCAGGCAGCGGAGCTAACAGCGCTAACGGAGCTAGCAGGAATTGCCTTAGGGTGACCAGGGTCGGGCATTACGTAGCCACCGTATCAGCTCCATGCTGGGGAGCTAGCACACTATAGCCCATTCTGCTTTCTTTAGGCTCTGAATTTCAAACTTTTTTGCCTCCTGTGAAGGATAAAAACACATGGCTTGCTTTGCTAAATAGTTAGACTGTTATTTAACCTGGGGTCTCCTCTGCCCCCCAGGCGGTGGCTGGACAGACCCGGACGTGGCCGACTTTGAGCTGCTGGTCATCATGAGCGCCACGGTTGAGCCGACCTCCGCCACCTGCCAGGTCCGAACGTCCTACCTGCCCGACGAGATCCTCTGGGGCTACGAGTTCCCGCCCGTCGTCTCCCTCTCTCCCTCGGGGAAATACGTGGCCGATTTCGCCTTTTTCGACAAAGTGGCCGAAACCAAAACCCCACTCGTCTTCAAGCAGGCCTTGCCGCCGAGCCCGCCGTCGCGGGCGTCCCGTCTCCACAGGGGCCAGGAGGCCGGGGCGGACCCGGAGAAGATGCGACTGGAGGAGAACTACAGGGGGGAGGAGAAGGGGCGAGGAAGGGGGCGCGTCAGAGACAGCAGCCCTCTCAGCGTGCGCATCAGCAACGTGTGAGGGACGACAGAAACGGGAAGTGGTGACGAAAAAAGCAGAAAAAAACCACCTCCCCCGCTGGTGAAACCAAACACCTGCGAGACACCTGGAACCACAAGATGGGGGAAGCCTGCCGAACTCTTCCATGTGTGGAGGCAGTTGAAAGGGAGCAGCAAACCTCACGTGTACAAATGTACAGCAACAGTCATCCGTAGAGACACTTCTTTGGAAAGGACTTGATTTACTGTAACTGGAGGATGCTCGAACACTGCAAAACCCCTCACATTTTGGGGTAATTCCTGTCTATAACTTAACCCTGTATTGTGTTAGTAGTAACTCTGATTCCAATAGGAATCAACCTATTTCAAGATTATTCTAGAAACGAGCGTATCTTCCTTGATCTGAGGACGAATACCAAAATAAGTTTTTCTTTCTCTTTTAAAAAATACTTGCAACAGGTGGAGATACTGGAACCACATTATTTTTTTTAACAAAGGATTCTAATGTATTGTGTAATATTTTATGTACCCAATAGTCTTATAACAATAACAATAATTTCTTATTCCACCTGAAGACATTCACTTCTTTCATTTAAATGTCTTTTCTCGTTTAGTGAGGAAATATGTTTAGTAATATTACTAAAAGCACTTTAACTTAACCGAATGTGGCATTTCACATGAGGGGAATAACTGAGCTGACACTTAATGCACTGTACTAAACGATTGCATCTTGTGATTATGTTTGTTAAATGTGTGCGTTGTGATGCCGGAAAGTGAGTTAAATCGTGTTTGTATGAGTCTTATTGTCTTAAACGTTGTGTACAGTATGTGTGTGATAATGTACTTCGGTACAGTGTATAAAAAGTGTATTTCTTCCTTCAGTCCGTATGTCCGGACATTTGATACGCCGCTGTGCATTTTCAATGTCCCAAGTTGTTGATGCACAAGGTTATTTCCGTTAATTACAGCGTTTTTACCGCTGTTGTTTGAAAGTGTCCCTGAATTCCGCCAATGTTTTTTGTATTGGATAAGTACATACATTTGGATAGAAATTATATTTGTCTCCCTTTATTTTACGTTAAAATGGCGACACACGTTCAGATTTGATAGAATTGGGAAACTTGTCCCTTGAGGACCAAAAATAAGTCATTTGAATCTTTAAATTAAAGAATCAGAAATGATTTTTCAAATGAATTACCAGCAACTTGTTCTAGTCATTTTCGTTATATTCAATTATTTTTATTAGAATGGTCAATCATGCATGTTATTACAAATCTGCAATATACACCACGATGTGTTGTCAATGTGTGCTCTTGGTATAAATTAAGTGCCACATTTAAAAATAAAAATCACCTGCTGCTCCAGACAAGCCCAATGAAAACTATTGAAAATAACTGAAGATATTTCAGAATAAATGCTTCATATTGTAAAGCATTCTGTGTACTGCACATGGTTCCCTCACATTGGTCTAACTTTATAAGTAAGCACTTTCTAAGTGGCTGTTTTAATAAATGTAGCTCATTTACAACGTGTCTATATGTGTGTTTGATTTGGTTATTCAGTTCTGCATTATACCAGAGGAGAATATTTCACTACAAACAATGCTAACTGTTAAGCTAAGTTGGTTAGCTGTGACTGGCGGTTGATAATTAACTTTCTTACTGGGATCAGAAATAAATAACCTGCAATTGTTATTCAGTTGATCTTAAAAGATTACTGTCTTTTTGGTGTTTTTAAACTTTGCATATGATAGTAATGATATTGATGTTATTGTGTGTAAGTAGAATGCTAGATAATGGTACTTAGGTCACCACCTCAAAATCTACCCAGAATTGTCTGGCTGTTGTTTCATTGAGTGAAATTACAGCAAGGGATGTTGTGTAAGTGATGGGTAATGATGAAATGCATAAATGGCGGATACTTCAAAGTGAGTCTGTCTGCACAACCTAAATGTCAGTACCGTATCTGTGCAAGATCCACAGTCAGATTAAATCAGTGTGAAAAAACCTGCTTCGCATACAAACCGCAGTCGCAATGACCACTTTGCATAAAAACAACTACAACAGGAATGCATTTAAAAAAAACTCAGTTGTTCCTGATATCTAGTCTCTAAAATAAGGCAGATGAACTTCACTAATTTCACCACGTTTGGTTTTACTTGGGTTGAATTGAAATGGGTCGACTCTAAGCGCGTCGCTTCAGCAGACTTCCGGCCTGCTGAAGCGACACGAGCCGGAAGCCTGCTCATCGAAGCTTTTCTATGCGGTGCAATGCACTCAACAGGAAACACAGATACAATTACACGATCTAGTTCAGAGCGGATTGAAGATGCTTCTCCTTCTGAGCTGTTGGATTGTTGCAGGTAAAATAATTTAAAAATGCATCACCGACAGCATGTTAAAAGTCAGAACTGATGATATATTGATTTTATTCATTCATGTGACGGTGTAAGGCTGTAAAAAGGCTTATTCTTAATAAGAATGTAGAAAATGTATTGATTCTTTTGAGGTATATCGTTAAAGGTATGTTAATAAGTTTTAGTTCATTAAATTCATCAACTTAGCCAACTTATGCATATGAGGACATTTATAGTCACCGTACTGTTTGTGGTAATATGCTGTAATGTAGTTCCAGCACGTTTATTTGTAATTCTTCTATTGTTTCCTGTCAGCGATCACAGCAGAGAAACCACCGGAGACGCACTACCGGGAGAAAAACGGTTCACTGTGTTTACGAGTTAAAAACTCACCACCGCATCATCAGGACAGGTGGCTCTTTAATGAGGAAGCCATCACTTTCTCTAACAACATCACACCGAAGTATAAAGATAAAGTGTCTTATTCTCCAATCAACCACTCGTTGTGTATTAACAAACTCACGGAGACAGACAGCGGCCGCTATACGTTCTCATTCCTCAATTCTTCCTATAAAAACTCAAAGGAAACCCACCGACTCATTGTTGAAGGTAAGTTTCAATCTTTATGTGATATGAAGTCGATGTTATGACTTTAGATGTGCGCATGCGCAGCTCCTTGCATCTGGTTGGTGACGTCACTACGGTTTCAAAGTCAGAATATCTGTGAATATCTTTCCAACTTTACCGAACTGTAAAAGTTCTCCGGACACTTGGACCGACTCACTCACCCTCATAACAAACAGAGAGGACGTCTGACATGCAGCGGTCTAAAGTCTAAATCATCTTGGGTATTTCCGAGTCCGAGATAAATGAAACTTATTGGGAGATGAAATACGTACGGGGTGGTATTTATTCCGTAAAAGTCGTGATTAGAGACGATTGAAAAGTCCTGCAGAGAGTTCTCTTATGGAATGCCGTTTTAGTCAAAATTAAATAAATTAATAAATACGTAAATACATGAAATATTCATTTGAAATACATCATGAAATAAATAAATGAGGCAATAAATACATAAATATTAAATACATATAATTATTTCATGTTATTTTAAATACATAAATATTAAATACATTTAATTATTTCATGGTACTTTTATTTCATAATGCCACTTTTCATTTCATGGTACTTTTATTTCATAATGCCACTTTTCATTTCTAGAGTCTTTTACTTTATAATGCTGTTTTACATTTCCAGAGAATTTTATTTCATAATGCCGTTTTTCATTTCCAATGACTTATTTCATAATGCCGTTTTACATTTCACGTTCTTATATGCAAATCAGGGGGCGTGGCTACACCTAACATTCAGAACAGACAACAGAGCCGTGTGCAAAAGGAGGCTGGCTAAGGGACGTGAGTGTTGATATAATGGAAGACATCGGTGGGCTCCGAGGTAGCATGCTAGCATTAGCAGATCAAATTGATCAACATGGGTTTTCTGCAGATACGATTTTGACACATATTGAGGGTTTTTTGGAAATTATATCAACACTCACCGCGCGCCGCGAGCTTCCTGTGAGACGCGCTGAGGACAATAAACTGCAAAACAACGTCCTTTCATATCAGACACCACAAAAGCCTCCATGAAAAGCAGATAAGGTCGCTGGATTTGTCACTTGTCGTTTTTGACAAAAAGTCACCAGAGGGTTTGGAAAGTCTCTGTACCGAACTCTGAAGCAGCCTGCGTCACAGGTCGAGGTCATAATTCCGACTAACACTTCTAAATCCTTCATTTAGTTCCATGGTTCTTAATGCGTTCAAAAAGTCTCTTCTCAGACTGCCACGTTTTCTATGAGAGCCATGTAGTTTCTACTAGTGCCCACTAGAGGGCGCCACCAGGCAGCCCAAATGCATCTAATGTATCTGTTGCAGAAACTGTCCCCACACCTGTCATGAGGATCTCGGCACTGGACTCCAACCTGTCTGCCGCTCTGTGCAACATCACGGTCAACTGCTCCATCGGGGAGGAGTGGGCGTGGTCGGTCTGTGACGTAGCGGGTTGCAGAACCTCCCAGAGGTCAAACAGGAAGGTCACCATCATCAACATTTTCACTGACAACACGTCCGTCGTCTGCGGGGGCAAAAACCACGTCAGCGCGAGCAATGTGTCTGAAAGCACGGAGGCAATGTGTAAGATTTACGTGATGATTTGTATTATTAGAGCAGGATTTAAAATCCAGTATGAAGAGTGCATAAGTAGTTTTATTTTTTACATTTTCGTCACTGAAATATTTCAGAACAAACTCATTTTAATGTCAAACAAAGATAACCCGATGTTAAAAAGTGTTTGAAATGGAACTCAGCTTTCCAGAAAACGTGTTTATTCAGTTCACTCGCGTACCAGCAGGGGGCAAAAACTTTTAACTGCATAGTTTTTGGGCCTCTTGCTCATCGTTCTAATACGTCGGTCTGTTAAAATGTGTTTGCATGTCCTTTCAGGCTTGATAAATCCTGAAGAGACATCGCACCCCCCCTCTGTTGTGGTGGCAGTGCTGATGTTTGCAGTGTGCGTGTCCCTGTGTGTCTTCGTCCTCTTGGGGGCCACGGGGCTCCTTCCCAGCGGATGTAGTGGGCATCAGGTGAGCCGCGTGACCTCAGCGTTCCACTTTCCAGATGCTCCCGACTCTGACCCCCCCCTTCAGGGTGTGAAAAGGAGTGTTGGTGTAACGCGAGGAGGCGTCTTGTCTCACTCCGCTGCGTTGTCTCCAGGAGGGGACACCTGCTGCTCGGATAGCACAGAGCCAGCAGGCGGAGGCCTCGCCGCCCCCCGAGTGGAGAGTCTCCACCTCTTCCTCTTCCAGCCAAGCCGAGGCCTGCTATGTAAACGTGGAGGCCCCCCCGCCCCGCCAGACCAGCAGCCCCATCGTGGGCCCGAGGGAGGAGACTGGGTCGCCTCAGGGCGAGGGTGATGGCGGCGTGGGGACGGAAGGACACGGGGGGGAGCAAGAGGCGTCGGGCTCACAGGGTGCCCCCCCGGGCGAGGAAGACCACATCAACTCTTTGTACAGTGTGTTGCAGGCGCCCAAAAGGTCCAGATCCCCCCAATAGAAGCTTTGAGGAGCTGGAGAGATGAACAGAATGAGGATACGGACGTCCTTCTTCCACCTGAACCTGGAGAACACGAGCAGCTGAATCTGAAATGTCCTCAGAGGCCACAAGGGGGCGTCGGAGTGCCACAACCTGCACCTGCGAGTCCTCCTTTAGTCCGGGACTCGGCCCGCTGTGGTTCTGTCCCAGGGGGCCATGTCCAGGAGCATTTTGGGGGGCAGGTGCTCAAAATGAAAGAAAAGGGCACCCATCGCCAAAATGATTCATGACATTAAAAATACTAATAAAACAAATAAATAAAAAACACAGTAGGATATTTTCCCCGTCCTTCTGCTTTTGGAGTCCCTCTTTTTTGGCATCCATCCATCCATCCATTGTCAAACCGCTTATCCTGCACACAGGGTCGCGGGGGGGCTGGAGCCCATCCCAGCCAACTTTGGGTAATATTTTTTGGCATCCAATTTATTTTATTTTGTTTAGCCCAAAATCGCAAATGACTAATTATTAATTTGTCTTTACAGTCTGTACACATGTGACATCCTCAGTCCTGGAACCCTCACATCAGCACAGATGGGCATTTATTTGAGTTCTCACAAGAACTCAAATAAATGCCCCGTCGGATATAGAAACACATTTTGGGGGGAATTGATGACAAAGAGCAATTTATATTCATAAAAATTGATGCATGAAGAAACAATTGTGCTCCAGCAGAAGGGGCACTTTTCTCATCCAGGGCAAAAGGGCAGGTGCTTGAGCACCAGTAGGGGTCTATCTGTGCACGTGTCTGTCCAGGAGACCCGGGAGACACATTGTAAAGAAACTGTCCCTCCTTCACTGGTTCTACTTTTAAAACCCTTTTTTAAGCTTGAAACTTTTCTTAGTATTTGACTTCCTTGCTCAGTACTGGGACTCAATTCCTGGCAGCTGCTCCGAGATCTACAACCATCATCTCAGGGTTCACACATCAGCTGTGGTGTGAATGTGGTCATGTAACACCACGTAACCAGTAGCAACACATCTTGTGTATGAAGGGGAACAGGAACAGTTTGACTGATTCTGAGAAGCTTTGTGCTTCTTCTCCTCAGACTTACAACACAAATCTATTTGACCTTTTCTTTTTTAAATCAGTATAACAAGAACCGATTCATTTGTAAAAACATTCAGCTGTGAGATGTTTGGAGTTTGAGCCTAAAATCCAAAATGTCCCATTAAAGTCACTGCTGATTAAATATGTCAATGTCACGACTACCAGAACAAACATGATTAAATAAGTTGAAATGTGAACTTTTGATTCATATTCATACGGATTGATTAGAAGGTGTTTTATGTGTGAATCACGTTGAACTGGAGGTTGTGAGTCTGTAGTGAAGAGTCTCCTCAAGTAGTGACATCATCCGACCACCAAGTGTCACCAGGTTTATAAAGTGTTTCTATGTGACTGATTGCTTTTGTATGTTGCACCATTTGGTTATAATAATATATTTATATACCTCACATATATGTATTAAACTGAATGGTTTTGTCTCATTTGTCTCAACATGCTGCTGCAGATGAGGAACTAAAGAGTTCCTGGAAATTCTCTTCTGCACCTTCTCTATTTTTGTCTTATGCGAATACGGCTTCTACATTACTGACCACAGGCCTGTGAAGAGACTGAACTGTTTCCTCTTTTCAAGTGTTAAACGTTTTGCTGCCAATTCATTTCTTCTCTAATTGTATAGTTGAACAAAGTTTTGTTTTTTGATTGAAAAATACAAAAAAACAACTCGAAAAGACTGAAAACAAACTGTTATTTGACTTTAATTCACACGTCTGAGGCAACGGTTCAGTTGTGGTGAAAGAGGCGTCCCAGAATGCATCACTTCCTCCTGCTGTGGTGTTTGCTGGTAGAGTTGAATGTGGCTTTGATGCACAAAAAGGAACCTTAAGGTTGATCAAATAAAACGGCTCACTTTCTACATTTAAGTCTAATTAAACGTTGGTGGATTTATTTTGGTCTGTTTCAGCCTCTGAATCTGCTTCAGTGATTCACTTCTTCCTCACAGGGTGTTTTATATCAGTCATTGTGAAACATTAAACACCTTTCTCTGGCTCTCTGAATGTACTTCAAACTAAAAGTGCTTCTGTAGAATAAAGAATATAGAAGTTAGCAGAGTTTGAACAATTCATTTTACTGGGACAAAAATATTTTCTTTCCTTTTTTCAGATATTAACAAAATATCACAAACGTGTACAGTGCAACTACATCACACATCTATAATATTAATATATATAATATAATATAGTATTAGGAGGCGAGGAGCATGGAGAGGTTTTCGTCTCTCTTCACGTCCTCTTCCGCCTGTCTCTTCGTGTCCTGTTCGAGCACAGTCACTTCCTGTAGGAGACGAGACATCGAGACGCCAGAATCTCACCATGAAGTGACGACATTTACAAGTTGTTTGTGGATTTTATTGTGAAATCGTCCCAGTTTGGTGAGAAGGATCATTTATGGATTATTAAGTGTATTAATATTACAGGGGAGGCCTTTGACTTCCTGCAGCTGCCTTTACAGAAACCTTTAGCTTATGACCGTGTATGAAGAAAGGACATTAAATATATCTGCATTAATCAGACTACTGGAACTGGTCTTATGTCCTATAAGCATTAAAATGTGACGTGTTTAACAGCGTCTGGTGGGTCAAAAGGGAAGGAAGCACGGACCATAAACAGAAGCAGAAGTTAGAGAAAACCTCTCGTCTAATATTCATATGTTGTCTCTGCATTTCCACATTTCTCTTCATGTTTCACACGTTTGAAACCGTCTGCAGACACGAAGCGTTTCTCAGAAGCAAAGTGTCAGCGTGGACGTGAGGATGGGACGCGCTTTGTTTGGTGTGTTGGGGCTTTTCTGTGAGTACTTTCGCTCTTTAAATCATAGTTTTCATACATAGAACTTTTTAAATGGCAGAAGTTAATAGTTTCTGTCAGTTTGATGATGCGTGATGATGTTTCTCACTTTGTTTTAGTGCTGAATATTCTCCTCTACTGTGGACACGCTCAAGGTTTTTATACAACTTTCTTTCTTTGATAAATTCACTCAAGACAATTCAACACCTTCTATCACTGTTTATATTTAATATTTCTGTTCTCTTTAGTTCATTTATGACGAATACAAGAAACACAATTCATTATTTGCATGTTGTGTTTGTTTCTAGATCCTTTGCTGCATATTGAGCCAAACTGGTCTCCTTTATTTACTGGAGAGAAAGTTACCTTCATATGTGACTTAAAGGAAGTAAACAACGCTGACTGGGTTTACTCATTCAGATGGAAAGATCATTGGTTTATCAACTACGGAACAGAAAATACATATACATTACCATCTCTAACTACAGGATATAGTGGTGAATATCAGTGTGCTGCTTCTCAGAAGTCTTCCAACGTTAGCAGAGGAAGTAATAAAGTCTCTCTAAGTGTATCAGGTAAGTGATCAAAGTTTTACCATCACGACGAGTTCATTAAAGCACTTTTATATTAATGAGACGTGTTGATTTAATAAACCTGTTTAATAAAGTGCTAATGTGATATAATGTAGTGATAATTAATAAATGTTAACTAGTGTAAGAGGAACCTTGAAGTTGAACACTGATGCTGTTTAGTCAGCTGATCTTTGTTTAAAAGGATCAATTATCAGAAAATATTGATCCTTTTAAATAAAACAAAGATGGACTGATTATGAAAAGAACATTAACATGATGAGACAAACCGTCCGATATTTAATCCCTACTGAGAAATTATAGATGAGTGATTGGATCATTATTGATAAGACAAATTGAACAAATCAGAATCGGCTTTATTGGCCGTATGTGTTTGCACATGGAATTAGTCTCCGTTACAGTTACATAGATAAACAATAAACAACAGAAATATAAAAAAATATGAAAAAGAAATTAAGGACAAAATAGAACACAAAAACTAAGCATAAAAATTACTGATATGTATAATATATAAATATAAGGTGGCAGTAGTCCAATATAAATATGTAGTGCAAGTAGTGCAGATGGAGGTGTTCTGTTAATTGTTTATCAGTGGCGCCTCCTTCAGGTGAAATGTTCTCATTACTTCATTAATTTAATAACCATTAATTCAGTACAGTCACAATAATTACATTGTTTTGTATTTGTTCTACATTAAAGCAGGAAAACCAAAGGCCCAACTGAGCAAAACCTCTCCTGTAGAGGGACGTGTGACCCTGACCTGCTCTGTGGTGTCTTCATCATCACCATCATCATCATCATCATCATCTGGATGGAAGTACTTCTGGTACAAACACAACAAATACTCTGAACCTCTGAAAACAAGAGCTTATGTTCTCCTCCAGAGTGGAAGCATCTCTCCCTCTGGTGGAGGAGTCTACTGGTGCAGAGGAGGAAGAGGAGACCCAGTTTACTACACAGAGTACAGCCATCCAGTCGGTAAAGAACTAAACTGATAGTTGATGTGAAACAAAACATGTAGAAAAAGTATTTGTGAATAAGGATTAAGACTCACACTAAAACTCTGTTTGTGTAACTTTTCTATTTGGGGCCTGATGATGATGAACAGTCACAAACAGAGCTGTTGTGAAGCCCAACTGGCCTGAGATTTACTCTGGAGAGACGATCACTCTCACATGTGGAATAGAGGAGGGAGGAGGCTCTGAGTGGGAGTATGAATGGAGAACACCCGACTATTACACACCTCCAAACCCAAGAGGCTCCATGATGACATCATCAGTCAGAGGAGACTACAGCTGTAAGGGCAGACTGAAAGATGGAGGCTCTACAACAGAATGGAGTGATGCTTTCACAGTAAAAACATCAGGTATGTCAGTATTTATATTTAAATTAATGACAATATATTTAATATTTTAGTTTGATTATTTGAGATATATGTGGCAATCGTAGAGATTTACATGGATAGAATTTAGACCATGATGTAATTGGAGTTGTCAGGTTCTTGCACCTCAGGAATTGCACCTGAAGATTAAACCTCACTCACATCCAGGAGCGTTTCTAGACCCTCTGGGGGCCTCAGGCAAGAAGGACCACGGGGCCCCAGAATCATGATAAATGAAGTCCAGGACTACGGATCAGTAAAGAAAGCTTTTATCAAACAAGTAACATATAAAATAAATAACATAACAATCTGAATGCAAAGTTGGAGTTTGGCTTCTGTGTTCTTGTGGGTTCTGCTGTTTCATCTGATGTGCAGCCTGTATTTGTGATCAGTGTTCGTATGAAGCTCATCTGTTACTAATGTTTTCAATGTGCAGTAAACCTGTTTGGTGGCTGGTGGATGACCGGGAGTTTGGGATAAAGTGGCAGGCTGGCTGGCAGCACTACTTGTTCATAATGTAACACACGTAGCTTCCACATTCCCACTGTCGCGTTTTCTCTCTTCACCCTCTTGTTTTTTGTCTTGTCGTGTGCACAGAGAGACGTGTTCGCTTCATTGTTTCGTCTGTGTGTTTGACCGGGACGCACGTCCATGCCGGCTAGTAAGGGGCCCCATTAGGGGGATTCCCCGACGTGTCGTTGCGGTGTGTACGGGGGTTTCAGGTTGTGTCGCTGGTATGGAGCGATATCAGCCGTCTGTCGGGGCCCCCTACTAGCAGCTAGCCAGTGACGTAAAGGGCCCTGCGAGGGGGGTTTCCGATGTCTTGTCGTTGCAGCGTCTAAAGTAGTTCCATTATTTTGTCATTGACGTCAGCCGTCCCTCGGGGCCCCCTTCAGCTCGGGGCCCGAGGCAGTTGACTTGGTTACCTGATTCCGTTGCGGCGCCTCTGAGGACAAATTCAGTCACAATAATAACACTGTTTTGTCTTTGTTCTACATTAAAGCAGCAAAACCAAAGGCCCAACTGAGAAAATACTCTGTAGACGGACGTGTGACCCTGACCTGCTCTGTGGGGTCATCTTCATCGTCATCATCATCATCTGGATGGAAGTACTTCTTGTACAGAGACGAGAAAACCTCTGAACCTCTGAAAACAGGAGATGATGTTCTCCTCCAGAGTGGAAGCATCTCTCCCTCTGGTGGAGGAGTCTACTGGTGCAGAGGAGGAAGAGGAGACCCAGTTTACTACACAGAGTACAGCCATCCAGTCGGTAAATATAATAATAATATTAATACTTTCTTTTTTTAGTGCTTTTCTTGGTACCCAAAGACGCTTTACAATGTAAATCTAAGTAAGGGAAACATACAGATAAGAGAAATAGACAGAAACAATAAAAAACAAAATAAATGAAAAGAAATAGAACTGGAGAAAACTGGAGGATGAGTCATGTTGGGTTTTGCATTTGAAGAGGTGGGTTTTGGGGGCTTGTTTGAATGATGATGCGGGGGGAGCCTGGTGGATTTGGATGGGGGGGCGTTCCAGATCGGAGGTGCAGCAGCTGAGAAGCAGGTCCGGCGCTTGGTCCTGATGGTCTTCAGGGTGTTGGCATTGGCGGACCTGAGGCGACGGGTCGGGCGTGGAGGGGAGGAGGTCTAAGAGGAAGGGAGGGGCCACGTGGTTCAGGGGTTTGTGGGTGATGAGTCATATGTTGAAGTCTATCCTGTATTTTAGCCAGTGGAGGTTGCAAAGGTCCAGCTGATGTGTTCATAGCGACGGTGGATGTTAACAGTCGAGCAAAAGAGTTCTGAACACACTGGAGTTTGTTGAAGGTTTTGTTGGGAGCTGTAGAGAACGCTGCTGCTGTAAAGAACTACACTGATAGTTGATATGAAACTAAACATGTAGAACATGTATTTGTTAATAAGGGTTAAGACTCACACAACAACCAGTTAGCCATCATTTTTATTTCCCTGAATCAAAACAGAATATTTGAGTTGTTTAATTAGTTGATTTATTTAAAGACAATGTACCATCACACCTGTTTTACACAGTTGAAGTAAAAGATGGAGGACATCAGCAGTGACAGTAATCCACCAAGGACTCATCACAACATGTCTTTATTCTGTGAAATCTCTTTCCAACAGATGTCCCTCAGCCTGTCCTCACAGTGTCTCCATCATGGACGAGTCCTGGAGACTCAGTGACTCTGACCTGCAGTGTTGAACCTCCGTCTGCAGGATGGAGGTTCTTCTGGTATCAGGCTGTTCCAGAACTGTCACTCAACTACACCTATGAGCTTCTAGCTGGTAACACCACTGGGACTGAACAGGATTCCTACATTCTTCATGGACAGACACACACAGCAGGATATGTGTGCAGAGCTGGAAGAGGAGATCCTGTGTTTTACACTCTGTACAGTGATGTGATGTTTGTGTGGTCTGGAGGTGAGTTTGTTCACACTTGTATATTCTTGCACAAGAGAATAAATGTCCTGTTTGTGTTGACATAGTTTGTCCTGTGTGTCTCCTAATGACGTGTCTTCAGGTGTGAATCCAGCAGCGTCTCTCACAGTGAGTCCTCACAGACTGCAGCACTTCAGCACAGAGTCACTGTCACTGAGCTGTGAGGGAAACTCTACTGAGTGGAGACTGATGAAGGCTGATGAATCTGGCTTCATGTCATCCTGTTCTTACTGGGGACAAATGACTGGATCCACATGCAACACCGACACTAGAGCGAGTAGTGGAGTGTACTGGTGTGAGTCTGCAACACAGTCCAGCAATGCAGCCAACATCACTACACACAGTGAGTTTATATTCATTTAAAGGTTTTACATCTAAATTAGTTACACATCTTATGGTAGAGTGCTGACATTTTAAGGTGACTTTATAAGCCGTTAAATGATGGAGAGTTGAGAGCAAAGTGCACAAGGACACCAGGAAGAGTCTTTAGTTCAACATGTTCCACCTGGTGGAATTCTCCCTCTGTGTGGTTTTGTTTAAAATAACCTTAACAGTTAAACAACAGTGTCTAAAATACACACTTCCTCAAGTGATTACTCATTACTTTTAAGTTGTAGTCTTTATAACAAAAACAAACATTCAATATAAACAACATTGTAACAACAAAAACATTCGTTAATCGCCATTAATCGAGATTAATGATTTGCGATTAATAAGCAATAACATTTTTTGACAGAGTTTTGACATTTAAAGTATTTACACATCTTATTGTAGAGTGCTGACATTTTAAGGTGACTTTATAAGGACTTTAACTCAATATTTAGTTTGTTTCAGTATCATTTCTCTGTAACTGTGAGCATGTACGTCACCAAAGGGCCGTCTCTTTCATCCATGAAATGCAGCTATTCGCTCAGCTACTGTGTGAATGTGGACAACAAATGTAAACTATAAATGTCTTCTCTTCATTGGACATCAGCTTGTTTGACTTCCTGTCCTCTGGTCTCTTTACAGGTGGTGATGTCATCCTGGTGAGTCCTGTCCGTCCTGTGACTGAGGGACATTCGGTCACTCTTGGCTGCATGTTGAGGACAAAAGAACATCTTGATAATGTGGATTTCTATAAAAATGACAAACTCCTCCCAAATGGTGTCGGAGGGGAGCTGCTTATCTCTGCAGTTACTAAGTCAGATGAAGGCTTTTATAAATGTAGAGGAAGGAATTCACCTCCAGGTTTGGAGACTTTGACCTCAGCAGAGAGCTGGTTGTCAGTGGAACGTGAGTACGAGTAGAAGATGTTTTCTTTGTAATATGTGTTACAGTCTGAGTTACAAAAGGTGTAACTGAATTAAACTATTTGTTTGTGTGAGACAATATAGTTTTGTACATTTAAGTGTTTAAAGACACAAATGAAACTGTAACATGAGCAGCAGTGAAAGGTGAATGTTGTGTGATCAAAGGTTCATGTGAGTGTATTTGAGTGTGTGTGTTGTAGTACTTGTGTATCTCTTCATGGTTGGTGTGTACTTGTGTGTAGATCCTGAAGAAGAAGCATCAAGCTCTGTGTTTCTCCTGCTGTTGGTTGTTGGTCTGGTTTCTGGAGTTTTACTGATTATTCTCCTGCTGCTGATTCTGCGTCGCTACAGAAAGTCAAAAGGTGAGATCTTTTCCTTCTGATATCAGACTGATTTCACTGAAATAAGTCAAAGTCACACATATTATTACACACTCATTAATTAACAATGTGAAACCTTTTTCTTGCAGCTTCAAGCCTCAGCAGGTTGGTACAAGCCTCTCTTCTCTCCCTCTGAACACGGCAGCAGGACTTTACATGTTCCTCATTCAATCCTCTGTATTTACTTCATGTTTTGGACCCACAAGGTCTCAGAGGACCAATCAGAGCCCAGCGACAGACCACATGATCAACCAGGGTGAAACTCCAGGCGGACTTATTACATTAATAATTAGTTCTTTACTTTAAAGCTAACATTTGTCTTTCTGGTTGAAATGATTGAATGACCTCGTCTTTATCCTCACTGCTCTGCAGGTGATTCTTGTCTCTATGAAACAATCGGAGGCTCTGAAGAACCTGAACAAGGTGCAGTAAATCCTGTGTTCATCACAGCTGTTAAATACTAGAATCAGATGATTCAAAGTCAATGCAAACTGTCTTGAATGAAAAATAATAAATTCTTATTTCAGATGAATCCAGCCTCACATATTCTATGATTGAGCTCAAACACTTTAAAAAGAAGGGTAGGTGATTTACTTTACAGTGAGAATCACCTTTGAGAGTTGAGATGATTTGTTCTTCTTAGCAAAGTTCTTCGTGTGGTCTTTGTGACAGAGAAGCACGATGAACCAGACGAGAGCCCCGTTTACTCGGATGTGAGGACGACATCAGCTGCAGGTACAGTCAACGCCAGCAGAGCTTCCTGCTGTTTAACAGGTGCTACCTGCTCTAGTTCAACACGTTCATGCTGTCATCCAACATGCCGAAATCAGCAATGTACACATCCTACATACAAGCACATAACACACTTTAGACTTTTTAAAGTTGTCATTTAAATTAGTATTAACTTACTATGCAGTCATGAAACAGACATAATTGGACCCCACATTTCATTCTTCTATATTCATCAATCCATCGATATTCAACTGAAATTGTGTCTTTTGTCTTTAGACGTGACGTATGCCCAGGTTCACCCCCCCACTAAGAAGAAGAGGAATGAAGGTAAGTAAAGTCCACATCAGGTATCGACTCCTTGTGTTGTGACTTCTGTCTCCATCCAAAACAAAACAACATCTTTTAAAAGTTAGAAAATGGTAGTTTGTTATTTTTAGAATCATTTCTGTCTATTCCTCCTTCATTTATTACTATAAACTATTCTGATTAATGATGCACTCTTATTTTGTGTTAATTGTTTTACAATAGTCAGGACAACGTATACATTATTATTTTAAACTAACTACTTGCAAACATACATTAAATCTTTTCATTTATAGGAAAATCCAGATTTGCAGCAGCAGAGGAAGCTGTTTATTCTGAAGTCAAACCAGGAACATCTTGAGGTGATGAAGCCATTTATAAAGCAGTTTATTTCACATAGTTAAACGTCATAAATCACCTTCAAGCTAAATATAAATAACCGCTATTGTTTTTTCTCTTTGGTTCTTCCAGATCAATAAAGACATCCGTGTGGACAAAACCGACCAACGAGAAAAACAATCTCTTTAATAGACGTGTGAGGCTTGTTAAATGAATCCTTTTTGGGAACCTTTGTGCTCCGAATAGCAGAAAGTATTTTGTACAGTTAATTAGCAGATTGTTTCAACTAAATCTTAAAGTGTTTTTTAACCATTAAGTGTATGAAACGTATTTTTCCTTCAATATGCTTTCAGCAGCGTCTTTAACAGCTTATTCTCCATGTTAAAATAATGCATGGCAAGTGTTTTTATAATGTTTTATTTTGAAGATCCAGTAAAGTCATGCTTTTGGGGTCAGAAAAGAAGAAAAAAAGTTTAAAAATGTCAGTATATCGCTTTAATGTAAAAACATGCAACATAAGCAAAGCTCTCTTTGTGACGTCTCTTTATGTGTATTAATATTAGATATTAGAACAATATCAAACGGCCCTTTAATACTTACTGAAGTACAGGAAGTGACTTTGTTGCCTTCCACATTTACTCTGATTAAAAAAATTCCCCCATGTGACCCTCCTGTAAAACCACTGCGACCCACTAGAGGGTCGCGCCCCACAGTTTGAGAAACACTGATGTGATCAATGAACAAGATTTCTAAACATCTCCTGCTGCAACAGAAAAAACGGTTTATTCTGAAGTGCAACTAAGAGCAGCTCTTGTTATTGATGCTGCCCCCTAGTGTGCATGTTGAGAATAACGTCTTCATATCACAAGCAGCCACATCTGAAATGACCTTTTATATACATTTATATTTTTGTATACTTTTTCTTCGTCAATGAAAATAATTTTATGTCTTTTAATATATGATGAACTCTCTGCACACGTTTTTCAAAGCAATACAATTGTGATGCCATGTATGTAACAATACAAATCAAATAGTGAGAGGTGTTGAATCGTCTTGAGTGAATTTATCAAATAAAGAGTTGTATAAAAACATTGAGCGTGTCCACAGTAGAGGAGAATATTCAGCGCTAAAATAAAGTGAGAAACATCGTTTATCAAACTGACAGAAACTATTAACTTCTGGCTTAAAAAAAAAAAAGTTGTGATCTATGAAAACTATGATTTAAAGAGAGAAAGTACTCACAGAAAAGCCCCAACACACCAAACAAAGTGCGTCCCATCCTCACGTCCACGCTGACACTCTGCTTCTGAGAAACGCTTCTGAGGCTTTCACACTTTGAGTAAAGTCGCTTCAGGTAAACTGCTGAATTGGCTTATTTGATGAAATGGCACTTTCGTGTTCTGAGTTTGTATCCCTGTGGTCGAATGCACTTATTGTAAGTCGCTTTGGATAAAAGCGTCAGCTAAAATACACGTAATGTAGAAAACTAACTCCCTTTAGGGAAGCTACTGCATTAAAAAAAAAAGGTTCAGATCTTCGAGGAGCACAATCACCAGACTGAAGGATTTGATAAATACTTTTACTATGGTAATATTTTATAAGGGAAGCATTGACCTCTAGGTAGGGGACATATTATTGGTTTGGCCCGGACCCTCAAACATGTAGAACCACTCCAACAACACAGCAACCCAAAGTGCACAATTCATGGTGCGCATGGAACTCTATAGCACCTTAAATAACACAGTAATTCATAGTAAACCTTCAGCACGACAATTCAATTACTAAATAAAACACACACACAATCAGAGGAGGGGCCGCCCCATCGCGTGTCCCCCTACCGGTCAACGTCTCCGGTAAGAAGGAAATGTCCGTGGTTCGGTGTCCCGCTCTCGTCGACCGATAGAATCCGGAAGCATCGCTGGTATCTCGCCTTCGGCTCCCTCCGTTCCAAACCGTGTTCCGGGCCACGACCCCCTGCGGATCCCGGTGTGGTCACGTGACCCCCGCGGTTGTTGTCTCGCGCCGCATCGTCAGCGTGTCATGAACACCGCGCGCCCCTCGCCAGCTCCGATCCATCAAACCGCCACAGGCAGTGCTGTAGTGGTAAAATTAGAGGTGGGTAAACTCTGAATTTTGTGATCATACAGACCTCGACGCGGTGCGACGCGAAGCAACGGAACACTAAGTCTTACTTTGTACTTGAGGCCTTTTGCGGGCCTCTGTGGGAGTGGGAGCACTCGATGGTCTCTTCAAATATCACCTGATGTCCATTGCTAATTACCGGCGGTAATCCATTCTGTAGTATCTTGGATACTTCCGATTCAAATGTCTGTCATGTTGTGATGAGGTCATCAAGGTGCGCGTTTATGCGCAGAAGTTAATATGCACTAATAAAGATGGACGCATACAGCGCCGACTAAAAGAAACTCACTGGTACGTGTCGTACTTAGACAGTTAAATGTCAGTGCACGCACACGAATATTACACATTCCGAACAGGTAGGCAGGCAGGCTGATCCACAACGTGTATGTTTACACACCTCCTGGATCCTGATTGGTGTCGCTGCTGCAGCCGCAAGGCACTGATTGGATGGTCACAGACCGTAATACAGCGCAGATGAACATGATTCAGACTACGGCGTTTATATGTTCAACAATAGGAAACGTAGTCTTAGCTGTTTTAAAATTACACCAAGTTTATTTTGGATTATTCCAACGGAAGAATACAAGGCGCAGGGAACTTTGAGGTGCGTAAACGCCACTTAGAGGTGGGTAAACGCTATTCAGAGGTGCGTAAACGCTATTTCCAAAATTCCAGAGGTGCGTAAACGGCATTTACCTGCGTTTACCCTCCACTATAGCCCTGCAAATATATAAGAATAATTTTGGCGACGGGTGTCCTTTTGCTTTGTTTTGAGTACCTGCCCCAAAATGTCTGTGCACGTGCCCGAGTTCCTAATGCGTTTAATGAGAGCCGTGTAGTTTCGATTAGTCGCCACTAGAGGGGAGGATCAGGCAGCCCAAATGCATCTAATGTATCTGTTGCAGAATCTGTAAAGTTACTGTAGCGAACTATGAAGCAGCCTGCGCATGCGCATATGAAGTCATAATTTCGACTTTCCAACCCTTCATTTTTTTAGTGACGAAAATGGGCTTCAATAGTTCTTAAAGCGTTGAAAAAGGGTTAAAAACTCTCTTCTCACTGGTTTCTCTGCCAAGTTTTTTATGAGAGCCGTGTAGTTTATACGAGTCGCCACTAGAGGGCGCCAGCAGGCAGCCCAAATGCATCTAATGTATCTGTTGCAGAAACTGTCCCCAGACCTGTCATGAGGATCAACTGCTCCGTCGGGGAGTAGTGGGCGTGGTCGGTCTGTGACGTAGCGGGTTGCACGACCTCCCAGAGGTCAAACAGGAAGGTCATCAACATTTTCACTGACAACACGTCCGTCGTCTGCGGGGGAAAAAAACACGTCAGCGCGAGCAATGTGTCTGAAAGCACGGAGGCAATGTGTAAGATTTACGTGATGATTTGTATTATTAGAGCAGGATTTATATATACAGTGACTTGAAAAAGGGTTTACCATGTTTTTTTGTGTCACTAAATATTTCATAACAAACTCATTTTAATCCGACAAAGAGAACCTGAAAAGCATTTTTAAATGGTAATTAAATTTTTAGATTTAATTGCCCCCCCGGGCGAGGAAGACCACATCAACTCTTTGTACAGTGTGTTGCAGGCGCCCAAAAGGTCCAGATCCCCCCAATAGAAGCTTTGAGGAGCCGGAGAGATGAACAGAATGAGGATACGGACGTCCTTCTTCCACCTGAACCTGGAGAACACGAGCAGCTGAATCTGAAATGTCCTCAGAGGACCACAAGGGGGCGTCAGAGTGCCACAACCTGCACCTGCGAGTCCTCCTTTAGTCCGGGACTCGACCCGCTGTGGTTCTGTCCCAGGGGGCCATGTCCAGGAGACCCGGGAGACACATTGTAAAAAAAACCTGTGGCCCTCCCCGTCCACTCAAGGTTCACGTGCACTGTTGCATCAATGTCACAATGACTTGTTTTTGCAGATTATTGAACTTAACTTCTACTTCTTAGAATTAAAACGTTATCATACATCACAGAGTACGACACCTCTGTACAAGCGGATCAACTGTGGTGTGAATGTGGTCGTGTGACACCACGTAACCAGTAGCAACACATCTTGTGTATGAAGGGGAACAGGAACGGTTTGACTGATTCTGAGAAGCTTTGTGCTTCTTCTCCTCAGACTTACAACACAAATGTATTTGACCTTTTTGTTTTTTAAATCAGTCTCACAAGAACCGATTAATTTGTAAAAACATTTAGACGTGAGATGTTTGAGCATAAAATCAAAAAATTAGAGTCACTGCTGATTAAATATGTCAATGTCACGACTACCAGAACAAACATGATTAAATTAGTTGAAATGTGAACTTTTGATTCATATTAATACGGATTGATTAGAAGGTGGTTTATGTGTGAATCACGTTGAACTGGAGGTTGTGAGTCTGTAGTGAAGAGTCTCCTCAAGTAGTGACATCATCCGACCACCAAGTGTCACCAGGTTTATAAAGTGTTTCTATGTGACTGATTGCTTTTGTATGTTGCACCATTTGGTTATAATAATATATTTATATACCTCACATATATGTATTAAACTGTATGGTTTTGTGAAGAGTTCGTGGAAATTCTCTTCTGCACCTTCTCTATTTTTGTCTTATGCGATTGCGGCTTCTACATTACTGACCACAGGCCTGTGAGGAGACTGAACTGTTTCCTCTTTTCAAGTGTTAAACGTTTTGCTGCCAATTAATTTCTTCTCTAAATGTATAGTTGGACAAAGTTTTGTTTTTGATGGAAAAATACAAAAAAACAACTCAAAAAGACTGAAAACTGTTATTTGACTTTAAGTCACACGTCTCAGGCAACGGTCCACTTGTGGTGAAAGAGGCGTCCCAGAATGCATCACTTCCTCCTGCTGCGGTGTTTGCTGTTAGAGTTGAATGTGGCTTTGATGCACAAAAAGGAACCTTAAGGTTGATCAAATAAAACGGCTCACTTTCTACATTTAAGTCTAATTAAACATTGGTGGATTTATTTTGGTCTGTTTCAGCCTCTGAATCTGCTTCAGTGATTCACTTCTTCCTCACAGGGTGTTTTATATCAGTCATTGTGAAACATTAAACACCTTTCTCTGGCTCTCTGAATGTACATCAAACTAAAAGTGCTTCAGTAGAATAAAGAATGTAGAAGTTAGCAGAGTTTGAACAATTCATTTTAATGTGATAAAAATATTTTCTTTCCTTTTTTCAGATATTAACAAAATATCACAAACGTGTACAGTGCAACTACATCACACATCTATAATATTAATATATATAATATAATATAGTATTAGGAGGCGAGGAGCATGGAGAGGTTTTCGTCTCTCTTCACGTCCTCTTCCGCCTGTCTCTTCGTGTCCTGTTCGAGCACAGTCACTTCCTGTAGGAGACGAGACATCGAGACGCCAGAATCTCACCATGAAGGGACGACATTTACAAGTTGTTTGTGGATTTTATTGTGAAATCGTCCCAGTTTGGTGAGAAGGATCATTTATGGATTATTAAGTGTATTAATATTACAGGGGAGACCTTTGACTTCCTGCAGCTGCCTTTACAGAAACCTTTAGCTTATGACCGTGTATGAAGAAAGGACATTAAATATATCTGCATTAATCAGACTACTGGAACTGGTCTTATGTCCTATAAGCATTAAAATGTGACGTGTTTAACAGCGTCTGGTGGGTCAAAAGGGAAGGAAGCACGGACCATAAACAGAAGTTAGAGAAAACCTCTCGTCTAATATTCATATGTTGTCTCTGCATTTCCACATTTCTCTTCATGTTTCACACGTTTGAAACCGTCTGCAGACACGAAGCGTTTCTCAGAAGCAAAGTGTCAGCGTGGACGTGAGGATGGGACGCGCTTTGTTTGGTGTGTTGGGGCTTTTCTGTGAGTACTTTTTCCCCTTAAATCATAGTTTTCATACATAGAACGTTTTAAATGCCAGAAGTTAATAGTTTCTGTCAGTTTGATGATGCGTGATGATGTTTCTCACTTTGTTTTAGTGCTGAATATTCTCCTCTACTGTGGACACGCTCAAGGTTTTTATACAACTTTTACTTGATAAATTCACTCAAGACGATTCAACACCTTCTATCACTGTTTTACATTTAATATTTCTGTTCTCTTTAGTTCATTTATGATGAATACAAGAAACACAATTCATTATTTGCATGTTGTGTTTGTTTCTAGATCCTTTGCTGCATATTGAGCCAAACTGGTCTCCTTTATTTACTGGAGAGAAAGTTACCTTCATATGTGACTTAAAGGAAGTAAACAACGCTGACTGGGTTTACTCATTCAGATGGAAAGATCATTGGTTTATCAACTACGGAACAGAAAATACATATACATTACCATCTCTAACTACAGGATATAGTGGTGAATATCAGTGTGCTGCTTCTCAGAAGTCTTCCAACGTTAGAGAAAGTAATAAAGTCTCTCTAAGTGTATCAGGTAAGTGATCAAAGTTTTACCATCACGACGAGTTCATTAAAGCACTTTTATATTAATGAGACGTGTTGATTTAATAAACCTGTTTAATAAAGTGCTAATGTGATATAATGTAGTGATAATTAATAAATGTTAACTAGTGTAAGAGGAACCTTGAAGTTGAACACTGATGCTGTTTAGTCAGCTGATCTTTGTTTAAAAGGATCAATTATCAGATAATATTGATCATTTTAAATAAACCAAAGAAAGATGGACTGATTATGAAAAGAACATTAACATGATGAGACAAACCGTCCAATATTTAATCCCTACTGAGAAATTATAGATGAGTGATTGATTCATAAGACAAATTGAACAAATCAGAATCGGCTTTATTGGCCGTATGTGTTTGCACATGGAATTCGTCTCCGTTACAGTTACATAGATAAACAATAAACAACAGAAATATAAAAAAATATGAAAAAAGACATTAAGGACAAAATAGAACACAAAAACTAAGCATAAACGTTACTGATATGTATAATATATAAATATAAGGTGGCAGTAGTCCAATATAAATATGTAGTGCAAGTAGTGCAGATGGAGGTGTTCTGTTAATTGTTTATCAGTGGCGCCTCCTTCAGGTGAAATGTTCTCATTACTTCATTAATTTAATAACCATTAATTCAGTACAGGCACAATAATTACATTGTTTTGTATTTGTTCTACATTAAAACAGCAAAACCAAAGGCCAAACTGAGAAATTACTCTGTAGGGGGACGTGTGACCCTGACCTGCTCTGTGGGGTCTTCATCATCATCATCGTCATCATCTGGATGGAAGTACTTCTGGTCCAAAGACGAGAAAACCTCTGAACCTCTGAAAACAGGAGATGATGTTCTCCTCCAGAGTGGAAGCTTCTCTCCCTCTGCTGGAGGAGTCTACTGGTGCAGTGGAGGAAGAGGAGACCCAGTTTACTACACAGAGTACAGCCATCCAGTCGGTAAAGAACTAAACTGATAGTTGATGTGAAACAGAACATGTAGAAAAAGTATTTGTGAATAAGGATTAAGACTCACACTAAAACTCTGTTTGTGTAACTTTTCTATTTGGGGCCTGATGATGATGAACAGTCACAAACAGAGCTGTTGTGACACTGCAACACGACTGGCCTGAGATTTACTCTGGAGAGACGATCACTCTCACATGTGGAATAGAGGAGGGAGGAGGCTCTGAGTGGGAGTATGAATGGAGAACACCCGGCTATTACACACCTCCAAACCCAAGAGGCTCCATGAGGACATCATCAGTCACAGGAGACTACAGCTGTAAGGGCAGACTGAAAGATGGAGCCTCTACAACAAAATGGAGTGATGCTTTCACAGTAAAAACATCAGGTATGTCAGTATTTTTATTTAAATTAATGACAACATATTTAATATTTTAGTTTGATTATTTGAGATATATGTGGCAATCGTAATTTACATGGATAGAATTTAGACCACGATGTAATTGGAGTTGTCAGTTGGAGTTGTCAGGTTCTTGCACCTAGAGGGGTTGTCGTGGCGCAGCGGTTAGAGAAGTAATGTAATAATGAATTGCACCTGAAGATTAAACCTCACTCACATCCAGGAGCGTTTCTAGACCCTCTGGGAGCCTCAGGCAAGAAGGACCACGGGGCCCCAGAATCATGATAAACGAAGTCCAGGACTACGGATCAGTAAAGAAATCATTTATTAAACAAGTAACATATAAAATAAATAACACAACAATCTGAATGCAAACTTTACACACAACATATAAATAACAGAAAAACAAACATAACTGAAATGTGCAAAATTTTCCGAATGATAAAAACGCAACCAAGCAAAAACAAACGAGGAATTGAAGTGGAAAAGAAGAACTTAAGACTTGCTATGACACCTTGGTCCATATCCACAGCCCAATAGTTGTGCCTTTTTTTACTTAAAATGTATCGCGTGGCTCTGAATGTGTTTAGAAGAAAATGTCTGAATTCACTTTACAGAGTGTTTGCTTTGTTTCATCGTGTAGCATAATGCTACGTAGCGTTAGCCACCAAAACGCGCCAATCAGTTGACCACATTGTGCGACATGGATTGTGACATTTGCTCGTTCATTTGGTTGGTGTTTGGAGTTTGGCTTCTGTGTTCTTGTGGGTTCTGCTGTTTCATCTGATGTGCAGCCTGTATTTGTGATCAGTGTTCGTATGAAGCTCATCTGTTACTAATGTTTTCAATGTGCAGTAAACCTGTTTGGTGGCTGGTGGATGACTGGGAGTTTGGGATAAAGTGGCAGGCTGGCTGGCAGCACTACTTGTTCATAATGTAACACACGTAGCTTCCACATTCCCACTGTCGCGTTTTCTCTCTTCACCCTCTTGTTTTTTGTCTTGTCGTGTGCACAGAGACACGTGTTCGCTTCATTGTTTCGTCTGTGTGTTTGACCGGGACGCACGTCCATGCCGGCTAGTAAGGGGCCCCATTAGGGGGATTCCCGACGTGTCGTTGCGGTGTCTGCGGGGGTTTCAGGATGTGTCGCTGGTATGGAGCGATATCAGCCGTCTGTCGGGGCCCCCTACTAGCAGCTAGCCAGTGACGTAAAGGGCCCTGCGAGGGGGGTTTCCGATGTGTTGTCGTTGCAGCGTCTAAAGCGGTTCCATTATTTTGTCATTGACGTCAGCCGTCCCTCGGGGCCCCCTTCAGCTCGGGGCCCGAGGCAATTGACTTGGTTACCTGATTCCGTTGCGGCGCCTCTGAGGACAAATTCAGTCACAATAATAACATTGTTTTGTCTTTGTTCTACATTAAAACAGCAAAACCAAAGGCCAAACTGAGAAATTACTCTGTAGGGGGACGTGTGACCCTGACCTGCTCTGTGGGGTCTTCATCATCATCATCGTCATCATCTGGATGGAAGTACTTCTGGTCCAAAGACGAGAAAACCTCTGAACCTCTGAAAACAGGAGATGATGTTCTCCTCCAGAGTGGAAGCTTCTCTCCCTCTGCTGGAGGAGTCTACTGGTGCAGTGGAGGAAGAGGAGACCCAGTTTACTACACAGAGTACAGCCATCCAGTCGGTAAAGAACTAAACTGATAGTTGATGTGAAACAGAACATGTAGAAAAAGTATTTGTGAATAAGGATTAAGACTCACACTAAAACTCTGTTTGTGTAACTTTTCTATTTGGGGCCTGATGATGATGAACAGTCACAAAAAGAGCTGTTGTGAAGCCCAACTGGCCTGAGATTTACTCTGGAGAGACGATCACTCTCACATGTGGAATAGAGGAGGGAGGAGGCTCTGAGTGGGAGTATGAATGGAGAAGACCCGACTATTACACACCTCCAAACCCAAGAGGCTCCATGATGACATCATCAGTCACAGGAGACTACAGCTGTAAGGGCAGACTGAAAGATGGAGGCTCTACAACAGAATGGAGTGATGCTTTCACAGTAAAAATATCAGGTATGTCAGTATTTATATTTAAATGAATGAAAACATATTTAAAATGTTAGATTTGCGCTCACACACGTGAAGGATCCAAGCACAGAGTTTCCCAAAAGACACAGCACACAAAAAGGGGAACCCACACCCGAGGACACCGGCGCCACCACCTGGACGTTTACAGCACCTACGAACATGAAGCAGACAGTTACCCAACAACTCACACTGTGTGTCAGCGGGGAAACACCACACAAATAAAGATAACGTTAATAATACGTTAATAATACGTTCATAATAAGTTATCTGGATAACCTCCTCACACGAGCCCTGATGCCAGAGGGGGTCCTGACGTCACCGTCAGATGACGCAGTAAAAGGGTTAAAACGGGCCGTCTCTGTAAAACAGAACACTGGGACATCGGTCCACGGCACCAGCGGCGGGTGTCGGTAAGAACGGCACCAATCGACGGTAGTCCGTGTTCAGGTGGGACCGATTGACGTGAGGCAAAACAGCAGCGCTCCTCCCGAATCCCGCTAGCGGTCCCCTGCGGTAGAGGACAACGTCCAATCAATAAATAGACAAGACTTGGACGACAGGGACTCGTGAAAGGGACGAACCCACCGATCAGGCTGAATTCATCTGCTGCAGAAGGCGGGAAGCCAACAAAGCTGCTACCGGCGGCCAAGTAACAAATGACGTTATTAATGTGACGCCATATTACAATAAAACCCGGAGTTACAGGAAACTCAGCGACAGACGCTCAACGCAACTCTGTCTTCATGTCAGATTGAAATCAGGGGAATCGCCACCGTATTTATGGGAGACGCCCTCACGTGATTGACTGAGGACCTGAGGCGACGGGTCGGGCGTGGAGGGGAGGAGGTCTGAGAGGAAGGGAGGGGCCACGTGGTTCAGGGGTCTATCCTGTATTTTAGCCAGTGGAGGTTGCAAAGGTCCAGCTGATGTGTTCATAGCGACGGTGGATGTGAACAGTCGAGCAAAAGAGTTCTGAACACACTGGAGTTTGTTGAAGGTTTTGTTGGGAGCTGTAGAGAACGCTGCTGCTGTAAAGAACTACACTGATAGTTGATATGAAACTAAACATGTAGAACATTTGTTAATAAGGATTAAGACTCACACAACAACCTGTTAGCCATAATTTTTATTTCCCTGAATCAAAACAGAATATTTGAGTTGTTTAATTAGATAATATGTTAAAAGACAGTGTCCCATCACACCTGTTTACACAGTTGAAGTAAAAGATGGAGGACATCAGCAGTGACAGTAATCCACCAAGGACTCATTACAACACGTCTTTATTCTGTGAATTCTCTTTCCAACAGGTGTCCCTCAGCCTGTCCTCACAGTGTCTCCATCATGGACGAGTCCTGGAGACTCGGTGACTCTGACCTGCAGTGTTGAACCTCCGTCTGCAGGATGGAGGTTCTTCTGGTATCAGGCTGTTCCAGAACTGTCACTCAACTACACCTATGAGCTTCTAGCTGGTAGCACCACTGGGACTGAACAGGATTCCTACATTCTTCATGGACAGACACACACAGCAGGATATGTGTGCAGAGCTGGAAGAGGAGATCCTGTGTTTTACACTCTGTACAGTGATGTGAAGTTTGTGTGGTCTGGAGGTGAGTTTGTTCACACTTTTATATTCTTGCACAAGAGAATAAATGTCCTGTTTGTGTTGACATTGTTTGTCCTGTGTGTGTCTCCTAATGACGTGTCTTCAGGTGTGAATCCAGCAGCGTCTCTCACAGTGAGTCCTCACAGACTGCAGCACTTCAGCACAGAGTCACTGTCACTGAGCTGTGAGGGAAACTCTGCTGAGTGGAGAGTGATGAAGGCTGATGAATCTGGCTTCATGTCATCCTGTTCTTACTGGGGACAAATGACTGGATCCACATGCAACACCACTAGAGCGAGTAGTGGAGTGTACTGGTGTGAGTCTGCAACACAGTCCAGCAATGCAGCCAACATCACTACACACAGTGAGTTTATATTCATTTAAAGGTTTTACATCTAAAGTAGTTACACATCTTATTGTAGAGTGATGACATTTTAAGGTGACTTTATAAGCCGTTAAATGATGGAGAGTTGAGAGCAAAGTGCACGAGGACACCAGGAAGAGTCTTTAGTTCAACATGTTCCACCTGGTGGAACAGTTAAACAACAGTGTCTAAAATACACACTTCCTCAAGTGATTACTCATTACTTTTAAGTTGTAGTCTTTATAACAAAAACAAACATTCAATATAAACAACATTGTAACAACAAAAACATTCATTAATCGCCATTAATCGAGATTAATGATTTGCGATTAATAAGTAAAAAACATTTTTTGACAGAGTTTTGACATTTAAAGCATTTACACATCTTATTGTAGAGTGCTGACATTTTAAGGTGACGTTATAAGGACTATCTCAATATTTAGTTTGTTTCAGTATCATTTCTCTGTAACCGTGAGCATGTACGTCACCAAAGGGCCGTCTCTTTCATCCATGAAATGCAGCTATTCGCTCAGCTACTGTGTGAATGTGGACAACAAATGTAAACTATAAATGTCTTCTCTTCATTGGACATCAGCTTGTTTGACTTCCTGTCCTCTGGTCTCTTTACAGGTGGTGATGTCATCCTGGTGAGTTCTGTCCATCCTGTGACTGAGGGACATTCGGTCACTCTTGGCTGCACGTTGAGGACAAAAGAACTTCTTGATGAAGTGGATTTCTATAAAAATGACAAACTCCTCCCAAATGGTGTCGGAGGGGAGCTGTTTATCTCTGCAGTTACTAAGTCAGATGAAGGCTTTTATAAATGTAGAGGAAGGAATTCACCTCCAGGTTTGGAGACTTTGACCTCAGCAGAGAGCTGGTTGTCAGTGGAACGTGAGTACGAGTAGAAGATGTTTTCTTTGTAATATGTGTTACAGTCTGAGTTACAAAAGGTGTAACTGAATTAAACTATTTGTTTGTGTGAGACAATATAGTTTTATACATTTTAGTGTTTAAAGACACAAATGAAACTAACATGAGCAGCAGTGAAAGGTGAATGTTGTGTGATCAAAGGTTCATGTGAGTGTATTTGAGTGTGTGTGTTGTAGTACTTGTGTATCTCTTCATGGTTGGTGTGTACTTGTGTGTAGATCCTGAAGAAGCAGCATCAAGCTCTGTGTTTCTCCTGCTGTTGGTGGTTGGTCTGGTTTCTGGAGTTTTACTGATTATTCTCCTGCTGCTGATTCTGTGTTGCTACAGAAAGTCAAAAGGTGAGATCTTTTCCTTCTGATATCAGACTGATTTCACTGAAATAAGTCAAAGTCACACATATTATTACACACACTCATTAATTAACAATGTGAAACCTTTTTCTTGCAGCTTCAAGCCTCAGCAGGTTGGTACAAGGCTCTCTTCTCTCCCTCTGAACACGGCAGCAGGACTTTACATGTTCCTCATTCAATCCTCTGTATTTACTTCATGTTTTGGACCCACAAGGTCTCAGAGGACCAATCAGAGCCCAGCTACAGACCACATGATCAACCAGGGTGAAACTCAAGACGGACATTACGCTGCTCTTCTTCATGGTCAGTTTTATTCCTGATTTATTTAATATGTTCAGATAACATATCTGATTATCTGTTTGAGCAGATTATATAATTCATACAAAGTGGTTGAAATGATTGAATGACCTCGTCTTTATCTTCACTGCTCTGCAGGTGATTCTTGTCTCTATGAAACAATCAGAGGCTCTGGACAACGTAAACAAGGTGCAGTAAATCCTGTGTGTTCATCACACAGCTGTTAAATACTAGAATCAGATGATCATGTGACTGGTTGACCGTCCTTTAAATGAAAGACAAAGTGTATCGATGATGTCACAGATTCTGTGTTTGAGCTTAAAGACGTTGATGGTTGATGTGAATACCTCTATAAGGGAACAAGCTGCAGTAGTTGAGATGCTTTTGTAGGCCAGCAGAGCTTTAATAAAGGAGAACAAAGTGTCTCTTCATGCATTCATCTGATCCTTCTAACAGGGACGAATGATGAACCAGAGGAGAGCGATTACCAAAATGTGACGATGGAAACAGCTGCAGGTACTTCAAGTACAACAGACCATGTAGTACAATGTGAGTGTACTTGTGTATTACTACCAGCAGGCAGCAAAGGTCAAACACAACACTTACAACTGTTACTCTTAAATAACCTTGAAGCTCTTTTCCTTCTCTTTGTTCAGATGAATAAAACATCTGCATGGACAGAACCAGGGGAACGGATGACGACATGAAAAACCACATCTTTGTCTTTTTGAGTAATTATTGTGTGAACTTCTTCTTGCCTGATATGATAGTGTTGAAAAGATCATTTAACGGAAATACATCATGTGTCTTTATAGGTTTTACTTGGTGAAAATAGTCTAGATCAGGGGTCCCCAAACTTCGGCCCGCGGGGCGCATACGGCCCACCTCCACATTTGACCCGGCCCCCTGAACAATACAGAGACGGAAAAAAGGCTAATGGTTATGGTAAAATGGTTGTGTCATACAAGTAATTACGACTGCTCGACGGATCGCGGTCCCTTTAAATGTTCTGTTGTTGTTGATGACGTAGAGCCCATTGATAGGGAGATTACAGGGCTGCGCCATCTTGTTTTTTCATCCGTTGTGAAAAATAAACGAGACACACGCTTGTTCTCAACTTTCTCTGTGGAATGCAACTTCCACAATAATGGCAAAACGGTGTGGTAAGAGAAAAATTGATTCAGAATGCAGGGTATTTAACCCGCAGTGGACACGTGATTACTTTTTTGTTCAGTTGAAAGAAAAGGCTGTTTGTCTCGTCTGTCAAGAGACGGTGGCGGTATTCAAAGAATACAACCTGCGCCGACATTATGAATCCCGTCACAAAGACAAGTATGCTAGCCGGGCCAGCTTCCGTGTTGCTCAGCTGATAGCAAGCTGCGGTAAATCTTTCACTGAAGGAGAGTTTGTCAAGAAATGTTTGAATGTTGTCGTGGAGGAGGTCTGTCCCGAGAAGAAAGATGTCTTTAATGCCGTGAGTCTGTTGGCAAGTACAATTACCCGACGTGTTGAAGAAATTGGGGGTAATGTGTATGCCCAGCTGCAGCAGAAGACTAAAGATTTTCAGTTTTTTTCATTAGCACTGGATGAGAGCACGGACGTGCAGGACACCGCGGAGCTTCTTATTTTTATTCGTGGAGTTAACGCAAACTTTGAGATGTGCGAGGAGCTGGCAGCCCTACAAAGCCTGAAAGGGACTACAACTGGGGAGGATATTTTCGACAAAGTATGTCAAACCATGCAACAGTTGGGTCTGGACTGGGCAAAGCTCGCCAGCATCACGACTGACGGGGCCCCTAGTATGGTGGGCGCGTCTCGGGGTTTAATAGGACGCATGAACCGGGAGATGGAGGAACGGGGTCTCACCGCCCTGCTACAAGTACACTGCCTAATTCACCAGCAAGCGCTGTGCTGCAAAGTGTTGAAGTGGGATTCTGTCATGAAGGTTGTGGTATCGTGCATAAACTTCATCAGAGCTAATGGACTTAAACACAGGCAGTTCCAACAATTCCTGTCTGAACTGGAGTCTGCGTACGGAGATGTGCTGTACCACACAGAGATCCGATGGTTGAGCCGCGGCAAAGTTTTGAGGCGTTTTTACGAGCTGCTACCTGAAGTTAACGCATTTCTTCAGTCAAAAGGCAAAACAGTCCCAGAGCTGATCGACCCAGCATGGAAATGGCACCTCGCATTTTTAACAGACGTGACAGAACTGCTGAACGGCCTTAACTTGCAGCTACAAGGGAAGGGGAAACTCATTTGCGACATGTATTCCCACATAAAAGGATTTGAGGTGAAACTACGGCTGGTTTTGGAACAAGTGGAAAAGCACAACTTCACCCATCTCCCTGCTACCCAAAGCTTTTCTGCAGAGAAGCCATCTGTCGTGTTCCCAGGTGAAAAGTGTGTGGAAGCACTGGAAATGATGAAGGCGGAGTTCGGTGTACGATTCCGTGAACTACATGTTCATGCAAAAGAAATCCGTCTTTTTCAGAACCCTTTTGTTGCCGACATCGATGAAGCCCAGCCTTCGTATCAGTTTGAGCTGGCCGAGTTACAGAACTGTGATGTTCTGAAAGACGCATTCAAGCCCAACAGTCTCATTGACTTCTATGCCGCCCTCCCAAATGACACCTACCCTAACATAAAACAACACGCAATAAAGATGTCCACACTTTTTGGCAGCATGTATATCTGCGAGCAAACCTTTTCACGCATGAAACTCCTGAAAACTCCAACGAGATCAAGATTGACAGATGAACATTTGCATCAGTGTTTGAGACTGGCTGTGACTAGAATGGAACCGGACATTCAACTTCTCTCCAGCCAGATGCAGGCCCACAGTTCACACTGATGAACACACAGTACATAGGTAAACTCACTTTTCTGACTTATATCAGTCATTCTGTGTATCAACAAATGTAATTATAATAAAATCTATTGGGATAAAAATCCATCTCCACAACCATACTGGTATTGAAATGCATTGTGCTGTATCACTTAGTTTGGTTTCTTAGCCTGCTTGCTTTGTGCTTTTCAGAGGGAAGTTGATGAGAGGGAGCCTACAGTGGTGTCTACTGGGTGTAAGAATACGTGTTCAAGATTTGGAGCCTGGTCGGGGTTATCAAAAATTCAGTCGAATAACTTCTCTCGTTCTGGGAAATTTATTTGTCAGATCACAGGTCAAGTATCAGCGCTGCGTTTGCAAAGGCAGGAGCAGTTCAGGCAGCACACAGGCCGGAAGAACAACTAACTAACATCAGCAAGAACATCATGTTTTATAACCGTTGAAAGACAGAGAAGGAAAGATTTCTATTGGCCCTAAACTGGCGTAGAGGAGGACCTTCCACCTCCCGCATCTAAGATCCGGTCACATCCAATGTCCAGACTCCTGACTTAACGTAAACATCGTTAACAGAGTGTGTATGTTGAATAGTGTTGGTGTGTCTCTAACCCCCCTTTGGCTGGTAAATCTTCTAGTTGACCCGCAGACCTTACATTCCTCAGCCAGGACATAAACTGACTCCCCATCCTGTCAGACTCGTGTCTGCCTGCTTGGCAGATCCTGCTGTGCGCTTTACCTAACTCTTAAATCAAGACAAGACAGCAAACCCCCAACTAAGCCCATGAAAATAACTTTTGATTATCATGGGCTAGCCTATGGAACCTACAAAGAACACAAGAACTTTTCTGCTGTGACAAGTGAAGTTTACCTTTTATCTAGGATTGTGCATGGCACAGCATAACTTTCTTTCTGTGAAGAACCCAGAGAGGGTTATTTGATCTCAGAAAGGGTTATTAATATTTGGATATGTGTGGTGCGCTGGAGTGTCAGCATGTTTTCTGGAAAACAATAAATGATTACATTTAGGGACCCCTGCGAATGTCACACTTTTTCTGTTAGAAACTGACCCTGGCCCCCCATCAGAGAAGGGAAAAGTTATGTGGCCCTCACTGGAAAAAGTTTGGGGACCCCTGGTCTAGATTATTACATATATTCTTATTCAAATGTTGGTATTGAGTGTTTACTGTACATTTAATTTTTTCTTCTGAGTCACTTTGTTTTTTAAAGCTTCTGTAGAAAACTTTGAATGGAGGCCGGTTTGAAAAAAAGAAAAAGCAGTTTGACGTCTTTGAGCTTCAGTGCGTTGGTGATATTATTCAATATGAAGTCATCTTCTCTTTTACTTCTGATTAAAACAGAACTTTACGCATTTTTTACACTTCTAATCTTTTATTGAACAACAGATTTCTCCAACATACATGTTCATTTTTGACTTTTTTAAAAGGTTTAACAGATGCTGTTTGTATTTTATCTTCACCTGGACGTGTTTAATACATTTTGTAATGTTTGGTCATCAATAATAAATAAATAAACAGGTCTAAGCAGTGTTTCTGTTGGGTTCTGAGCTTCGGAGGAAGGAATGCTTCTTTAAAATCGCCTCGGCTGAGACGAGAAGTCAAAAAGAGTCACTTTAAAAATGATAAAGACTTTAATAACTAATTCCAAAACGATAAACGGTATGAATAGTATATTTTGCCAAATAGAGAAGTCCCCTCGTTGAGTCTCATGTCCATCATTGTTGGTTCACAGGAGGCTTCTGCTTCTTCTCCAGCTCCCTTCAGCTGCAGTCGTGTGTTATTGGCTGCACATTCAAATGTGGCTCCTCCCCCGTGAACTCCTTCCTGCTCCAAGACGTCACGTGACTCCCTCCTGGTTTCATCTGATGGCCGAATGTGATATCCCTCACTGACCTGAACGATCCCTGTTCACTTAACACTACAGTACATTCAATGATCACACCCTTGGCTTAAAGCTTCATGTGAACATAACACAGCATGCACGATGTCATCATCATCTCACCTGCTCCGTGTCTCCACGTCCTTCACTTGCACTGAGCAGGTCTCCTCAAGCTCTTAGTGATAAAGTTAACTCCCTGTACTGTTCTTATGAACATCAACGTACCAACACACTTTTATAACAAATACACAACGAGCAGCTCACGTTCAAGTCGGAGGGTCACCGGTCACTGCATTTATCAGACTGCAGCAAGCGCATTTATTATGAAGGATCAGTTGTTCCCAAATATTCCCCCCCAGTAATTGCCAGGTAAATAATCCATTAATACCTCAGCAGTTCTCTTCTGTGATCTCTCTTCGTTGGCGAATTGTGAGGATGGTCTGTACTCTGTGAGTACACGACTAACTTCCATTGCTCAACATGATTGTAACTGGGATGCACTACGAGTGGAGCAATGTGATAAAAGATCACAGGAAATTAGAGTTAACCCTTTTCTTCTCACACGCTGGTACAAGTCCCCATATTTTGTTCTGCCCCTTTAACTGTGTGAGTGGGGGACCGAGGGGGGATTAGTGCCCCTTTCTCAGTTCACAGGTGTGCGGTGCTGGTTGGCTGTTGGCGAGGAGGCGTGGCCACTGAAGACCTTCTGGAGAAGGGGTAGGTAGTTCTGCCCATGGGTGTACATTTGCATCACGTATGTAAATCTTTGTTACACACACTATGTTAGCTGGGAGGGGGTCATCCCTGTAGTTTTGGCCATAGAGAGGTAAGCTGGTTAGGGATAGACTGTGTTAGGCAGGGAGAGGTGTGTAGAACAAAAGGGACCTTTTGTTTATTTCATTACTTTGACCCCAGTGTTAAGTCCCTAAAGTGTCTGGGGGTGGAGGGCGTAAACAAGTTAAAATAATAAACCCAGGAGATCTGTAGCAACGGCAAAACAAGGATATTGCATGAAGGAAAACAACACAACTGAAAACAATCTCCAAAGGAAGACGAGTACAGCGTATGGGCTTCTTCGTTACTGGCTCCCAAAACGTCAGCACGTCAGCACCTCGCAACCTCTCTGGTTCCGCTCTGGCTTCCAATGAAGCAACAACCCCCTCTGGCTTGGCACAGCCATTTAATCCCCTTCTGATCAGCTGCAGGAGTGACATCGCCAGCACACCTGAAGGAAATCACGGGGAGCCGGGACTGGAGGAGTCGGGGGCGTGAGTCGGGGAGCCGGGACTGGCGGAGTCGGGGGCGCGAGAAGCGGAGCCGGGACTGGCGGAAGTCGGGGGCGCGACATCACAACAATGTGATGTTAAAACCTGGGGACGGATGCTAATTCCCGTCCTTTATGGATTTCTCCCAATTTTATCCCCAAAGAGGGTGATCATTAATGATGTGTTGTAATTAAGAGAGGCTGCTGCCGCCGACTGCGGAGGTGTTCCGTGTCCCCGAGCCGCTGACTCCAGAGATTTCCCATGTCCTCGAGCCAGCCATTCCAGAGACGTTCTGTGCCCTGCAGTCACCGCTCCGGAGCCGGCCAAATGACCGTCCGCCGGGCCGACCCCCGGAGGCTCCCCGGCCGTTTGCCTGTCCGCCGGGCCGACCCCCAGAGGCTCCCCGGTCGTCTGGCCAGAGTTTCCCGGGCGGTCCGACCAACGTCTCTGGTTTCCCTCCCTCCAACCACTTGCCTGCTCTCTGCCAGTTTAGAGCCGTCTGGAATTTGGCCCTTGAGGAGGAGGGGAGGGGGTACTGTCACGGGGTGGGTTTATTTCCTATCTTATTTTGTAGTTTTCTGCTTCTTGTCTCCCTGGGTAACTTCACTTCCTGCCTTGTCCTGTCATCGTCTGTGATTGTGATTGTTTCCACCTGTGTCCAATCACCTGCACCTCCCTAGTGTATTTAAGCAGTGTGTCTCTTGTGTCACTTGTCGCGTCATTGTCTATCGTCGTGGATGTTTCTTGTCTTCAGCCCCCTGGATGTGTCTCGTTCCTGCCTGCCCTTTTCCCCGGTAACTGAATGCGTTTTTGCCCCTTGGCCATTTTGTTTCGGCCTTTTACTTTTGCCTTTTGTGACTATTAGTCTTTTTGTTTTCTAAAACGTCTGCATTTGAGTCCTGCCTCCCATGCACCCCTGTCAGAGTTTAAGGATTTAAGTCTTATTTCATTCAGAAGTGAAGGCAAAACCGATTTAGATCAGGTCAAACCTAGCAGAGTTAGGAGGGCACACTGGCAGTTAATAGTACAGTCTAGAGCACCAACTGGCACTAAAAAAAGATTGAGAGTTTAAGCAAACTAGGAGCCAAGATAACCTCAAACAGAGAACTGGCAGTAAAACGGCAAGAACTAAAGCAAATCAGCAATCAAATTAACCTAAGACACTAGAATCAACAACAAATTTAGCAGACTAGCTTGGTTTAAAGAAAAAGATACTTGGTCCAATTTCAGGTCGCCTGGATGTCTGATGGCATTGTAGAAGAGATGCATGCTGGCAAAATCAGGCCTGAGAAGGGGAATTTAACCTCTGGTCGGCCGCGCTGACCACTCCCCTGTCGTTTAGGAGACAAAAGGTTGATTGGCCTCGACAGACTCCTCAAAATGCAAAACACCAATTGCCTGACACTCTAATCAGTGAACAATCACCATGTGGCGTTTTGACAAACTGGGAGTTTAAGGATTCAAGGGGAGTTGGGCGAACGAGTCCTGGAGCCGGAACTGGAGGCACTGGTCGGGACTGGGGGGAATTGAATTGTGGAGCCGGATCGGGAGGTTGCTGCAGCCCAGCGCGGAAGGAGGTGCACTGCTGCCCAAAGGGGCAAAAACGCAGGCAGGGACCAGAAACTCACAAGACATTCAGTATGACAAGCAGGCGTAACATGAATACATTCAACAATGATGTGACAAGGCACAAGAGACACAAATGGCTTAAATACACTGTGAAGGTGATTGGACACAGGTGGAAACAATCATGACATGGCAGACAATCACAGGGGATGACAGGACGAGGCAGGAAGTGAAGTTACCCAGGAGCACCAGATGCATGAAACTACAAAATAAAACGAATAAAACCCAAACCGTGACACAGGATTCACATTACGTGCACTAATGCAGTGCATGGTCTGGTTGTTGCACTGTGGGCTGATTTCATTTGTCAAAGTGCCAAAGATTTCCAATACTTGATAAAGTTTGGACGCAGAAACATTCTACCCAGAGGCCGTTCTGTACCTTCTCTAAAATGAATGATTTCAACTTTTTTCATTGCAGTACTCAAACGAGGGGGAGTGGATCAGAGTGGGGAACTTGTTTGTCAGATCTTCACAAATTTAACTTTGTAGCCATCGTTGTAACAACAATGTTTTATCATAAAAATGTTGCATAATTTGTTTTGCAGTTTATTGAACTTAATGTCTACTTCTATTAATACATCTTACCATACATCACAGAGTACGACACCTCTGTAGAAGCAGATCAGCTGTGGTGTGAATGTGGTCATGTGACACCACGTAACCAGTAACAACACATCATGTGTATGAAGGGAAACAGGTTGTCGGTTGTCTACTGATTCTGAGAAGCCTTGTGGTTATTGTCCTCAGACTGACTGCAGAGTTATCTTTATCTTTACAGCACAAATGTATTTACCGTTTTATTTTTTAAACCAGTCTCACAAGAGACGATTCTTTTGTAAAAACATTCAGCTGTGAGGTGTTTGTTGGAATTCAAAAGGACGCATTAAAGTCACTGCTGATAAAATGTGTCACAATTACCAGAACAAACATGATTAAATTAGTTAAAATGTGAATTTTTGATTCATATTCATACAGATTGATTACAATGTGTTTTATGTGTGTATCATATTGCACTGGAGGTTGTGAGTCTGTAGTGAAGTGTCTCCTCAAGTAGTGAAATCATCCACCAAGTGGCACAAGGTTTATAATGTATTTCTATCTGAGTGATTGCTTTTGTATGTTGTATCATTTGGTTATAATATATATAAATACAAATTGAAGAAACTATGCAAAAGAAGGACATAAATTGGATTTTTAACAGCCCAGCTGCTTCACTCCAAGGAGGGGTTTGGGAGCGGCAGATTCGTACCACACGTAGGATGCTTAATGCTCTTGTGAGAGAACAGATCCTTTCTATGATCCTCTTGGGATTTCTTGCGCCACTGGTATTACCTGCCAAGCGTATACTAAGAAAACTCTGTAAAGGGAAACAAGAATGGGATGAAGAAAGCAGTGCTTGTACAGCCTTACGGTAAAGTGTGGTCCAAAGTATCATTAATGGAAGCCCACTGACTAGCCCGTCAAATGATCCATGGGACATGGAGCCTTTGACTCCCAATCATCTGCTACTAATGAACGAGCAACCCAGCATGCGGATATGTAAGAGACCATATATTGAGTGTCTATATTGTTCAATTGGACTTTCTTATATTGAGGATATTATATTCAATATATATGTTGGCATGACGCCCCCCTTTATTTTCCTGCTTATATTGAGGTCATGTTTGCAGAAGGTGAAACCTAGATGAGCTGATTAGGCACCAGTGTGACCGTGTGACATAATGTGCTTTTTGTGTGTTTGGTTAACGCTTTTTTCTGCGGAAATAAACACAAACGAAAAGAATATAAAGATCTCCTGTCATTCGCGTTAAGAAAATTCTGCAGCTCAATTGCGGCTTAATAATGTACGTGATCCAAGGAACGCCGCTATATATATATATATATATATATATATATAATGATAGCGGCGAGAGGTTTTCGTCTGTCTTCACGTCCACTTCAGCATGCCTCTTTATTTCTGTCCTGTTCGAGCTTTGACTTCCTGTAGCTGCCTTTACAGAAACCTTTGTATGAAATGTGACGTGTTTAACAGCGTCTGGTGGGTTAAAAGGGAAGGAAGCACGGACCATAAACAGAAGTTAGAGAAAACCTATCGTCTAATATTCATATGTTGTCTCTGCATTTCCACATTTCTCTTCATGTTTCACACGTTTGAAAACGTCTGCAGACACGAAGCGTTTCTCAGAAGCAGAGTGTCAGCGTGGACGTGAGGATGGGACGCGCTTTGTTTGGTGTGTTGGGGCTTTTCTGTGAGTACTTTCTCTCTTTAAATCATAGTTTTCATACATAGAACTTTTTAAATGGCAGAAGTTAATAGTTTCTGTCAGTTTGATGATGCGTGATGATGTTTCTCACTTTGTTTTAGTGCTGAATATTCTCCTCTACTGTGGACACGCTAAAGGTTTTCATACAACTTCCTTTATTTGATAAATTCACTCAAGACGATTCAACACCTTCTATCACTGTTTACATTTAATATTTCTGTTCTCTTTAGTTCATTTATGACGAATACAAGAAACACAATTCATTCTTTGCATGTTGTGTTTGTTTCTAGATGCTTTGCTGCATATTGAGCCAAACTGGTCTCCTTTATTTACTGGAGAGAAAAGTTACCTTCATATGTGACTTAAAGGAAGGAAACATCGCTGACTGGGTTTACTCATTCAGATGGAATGATCATTGGACCAACTACAGACCAGGAAATAGATTTACATCACCATCTCTAACTACAGGAGATAGTGGTGAATATCAGTGTGAGGCTTCTCAGAAGTCTTCCAACGTTAGAGGAAGTAATAAAGTCTCTCTAAGTGTATCAGGTAAGTGATCAAAGTTTTACCATCACAACGAGTTCATTAAAGCACTTTTATATTAATGAGACGTGTTGATTTAATAAACCTGTTTAATAAAGTGCTGATGTGATATAATGTAGTGATAATTAATAAATGTTAACTAGTGTAAGAGGAACCTTGAAGTTCAACACTGATGCTGTTTAGTCAGCTGATCTTTGTTTAAAAGGATCAATTATCAGATAATATTGATCATTTTAAATAAACCAAAGAAAGATGGACTGATTATGAAAAGAACATTAACATGATGAGACAAACCGTCCAATATTTAATCCTTACTGAGAAATTATAGATGAGTGATTGGATCATTATTGATAAGACAAATTGAACAAATCAGAATCGGCTTTATTGGCCGTATGTGTTTGCACATGGAATTAGTCTCCGTTACAATTACACAGATATACAATAAAAAACAGAAATATAAAAAAATATGAAAAAAGAAATTAAGGACAAAATAGAACACAAAAACTAAGCATAAACATTACTGATATGTATAATATATAAATATAAGGTGGCAGTAGTCCAATATAAATATGTAGTGCAAGTAGTGCAGATGGAGGTGTTCTGTTAATTGTTTATCAGTGGCGCCTCCTTCAGGTGAAATGTTCTCATTACTTCATTAATTTAATAACCATTAATTCAGTACAGGCACAATAATTACATTGTTTTGTCTTTGTTCTACATTAAAGCAGAAAAACCAAAGGCCCAACTGAGAAAAGACTCTCCTGTAGCGGGAAGTGTGACCCTGACCTGCTCTGTTGAGTCATCATCATCATCATCATCATCACCATCATCTGGATGGAAGTACTTCTGGTACAGAGACGAGAAAACCTCTGAACCTCTGAAAACAGGAGATGATGTTCTCCTCCAGAGTGGAAGCATCTCTCCCTCTGGTAGAGGAGTCTACTGGTGCAGAGGAGGAAGAGGAGACCCAGTTTACTACACAGAGTACAGCCATCCAGTCGGTAAAGAACTAAACTGATAGTTGATGAGAAACAAAACATGTAGAAAAAGTATTTGTGAATAAGGATTAAGACTCACACTAAAACTCTTTGTGTAACTTTTCTATTTGGGGCCTGATGATGATGAACAGCCACAAACAGAGCTGTTGTGACTCTGCAACACGACTTGCCTGAGATTTACTCTGGAGAGACGATCACTCTCACATGTGGAATAGAGGGGGGAGGAGGCTCTGAGTGGGAGTATGAATGGAGAACACCCGACTATTACACACCTCCAAACCCAAGAGGCTCCATGATTACATCATCAGTCAGAGGAGACTACAGCTGTAAGGGCAGACTGAAAGATGGAGGCTCTACAACAGAATGGAGTGATGCTTTCACAGTAAAAACATCAGGTATGTCAGTATTTATATTTAAATTAATGACAACATATTTAACATTTTAGTTTGATTATTTGAGATATATGTGGCAATCGTAGAGATTTACATGGATAGAATTAGACCACGATGTAATTGGAGTTGTCAGGTTCTTGCACCTCAGGAATTGCACCTGAAGATTAAACCTCACTCACATCCAGGAGCGTTTCTAGACCCTCTGAGGGCCTCAGGCAAGAAGGACCACGGGGCCCCAGAATCATGATAAACGAAGTCCAGGACTACGGATCAGTAAAGAAATCTTTTATTAAACAAGTAACATATAAAATAAATAACATAACAATCCGAATGCAAAGTTCACACACAACATATAAATAACAGAAAAACAAACATAACTGAAATGTGCAAAATTTTCAGAATGATAAAAACGCAACTAAGCAAAAAAACAAACGAGGAATTGAAGTGGAAAGGAAGAACTTAAGACTTGCTATGACACCTTGGTCCATATCCACAGTCCAATAGTTGTGCCTTTTTTTACTTAAAATGTATCGTGTGGCTGTGAATGTGTTTAGAAGAAAATGTCTGAATTCACTTTACAGAGTGTTTGCTTTGTTTCATCGTGTAGCATAATGCTACGTAGCGTTAGCCACCAAACGCGCAATCAGTTGACCACATTGTGCGACATGGATTGTGACATTTGCTCGTTCATTTGGTTGGTGTTTGGAGTTTGGCTTCTGTGTTCTTGTGGGTTCTGCTGTTTCATCTGATGTGCAGCCTGTATTTGTGATCAGTGTTCGTATGAAGCTCATCTGTTACTAATGTTTTCAATGTGCAGTGAACTTGTTTGGTGGCTGGTGGATGACTGGGAGTTTGGGATAAAGTGGCAGGCTGGCTGGCAGCACTACTTGTTCATAATGTAACACACGTAGCTTCCACATTCCCACTGTCGCGTTTTCTCTCTTCACCCTCTTGTTTTTTGTCTTGTCGTGTGCACAGAGAGATGTGGTGGAAGATTTTGCACAGACAATCGTTAAGTAAGAATCAAAGGCTCTGAGTCAAGTATGTCTTTTCTCCGTTTATTTCCTTGCAAGGGAAAAAGGGTCACAACAGCTACGTGGTCAGTAGACTGTCAAGAACCTCTTTTTTCCTCTCAACACCTCGAGGCAGTTCTTATACCTAAACTTAGATATCGGTGGCGTCAACAGAAACCGTTAACCATCTTGTTGAGTATCTACAGTCAGGATACTGGGAACATCTTATCCATGTGAGACACATCAGCTCTTTGACCGTATCCTTGCTCTCCCAACATGCTAAAACAAAGGTGGTCATAGACATAACAAACACTTTGTTCAATCTCTACAGCTATGACGCTGGAAACATCTAATCCAAGTGGGAGACATCAGTTCGTATGTCAGGGCCTTTG